GTGTTTCTGCCTCGTTTACATATAAAGCCTCATTTACATATACAGTGGTACCTCGGGTTAAGTACTTAATTCATTCCGGAGGTCCGTACTTAACCTGAAACTGTTCTTAACCTGAAGCACCACTTTAGCTAATGGGGCCTCCTGCTGCTGCCATGCCGCCGGAGCACGATTTCTGTTCTCATCCTGAAGCAAAGTTCTTAACCTGAAGCATTTCTGGGTTAGTGGAGTCTGTAACCTGAAACGTATGTAACCTGAAGCGTATGTAACCCAAGGTACCACTGTAAAGGTATCTCGCATCTTGGCTCTGCTACAGTGAGAATGCAAAGTTAAATGAGGCTGAGGGAAAGATTCTCATCCCCTGCCTTATACACAGATGGACCAGTTTAGTTTAGCCTTGAGAAAAGCAGATGGAGCGAGTGTACCCACATATTTTTGGTTTAAACATTCTTAGTTGTAAAAAAATAGGAGGGTGCATTTTTTTTCCTTTTTTAGCTTAAAATAATTGCATGTTACTAACGGCTTGTTGATTTGACGTTTTGTGATTGCTTGTATTATGTAGTGCTGCTGCTGCTTCTAATTTCTGTTTCAGATGTCATATTGTCTTAAATCTTTTATTCTGTGTTGGAACTCGCTTTGGGATTGCATCCATGGCGAAAAGCAGAGTCTACACATTTTAAAAATAAATAGAAATAAAATAGATCAGTGTTAACCTGTAAAGCGGCCTATGAATATGGAGGGAAAGGGAAGAGTCATTACCTGTTGTGGCAAATTATAAACTAAATATGATAAATAGTTCAAAGTAAGCCAATATAATATAGGTGGTTGTTTTAGTACTGTGGTTATTTGATTAATAGGCAGAAAAACAAGAGTGGTTTTATTATTTATTTAGGGAAGCTTTTAATGTTTGATGTATTACTGTATTTTAATATTTGGTTGGAAGCCGCCCAGAGTGGCTGTGGAAGCCCAGCCAGATGGGCGGGGTATAAATAACAAATTATTATTGTTTATTATTATTAAATGCCTCTTGAATCGGTTTCCTAACATGAAGTGTTCAGGTTCACCTCAGACTGTGACTTCTTTTTGGAGGGGGCGGGGTAGGCTGATGATTTCATATGCACTTTGTTCCTTCATTAGATACGAGACTTTCAGCTGCAAAGCAAGATGGAGGCAAAAATGAAAGAAAGGAAAGAACAGTCAAAGAAATGCAAGGAACAACCATCCTTGATCAAGTTCCTCTGCAAAAACTGTACCAAGCTGACCTGTTCAGGAGAAGACATACAGGTCATTGAAGACATGCATCATGTCAGTGTCAAAACGGAATTTGCGTAAGTGTCCTGCTCAGGGCTCTTGGTAGAGAAGCCTTTGTAATTTATTATTTATACCCCGCCCATCTGGCTGAGTCTCCCCAGCCACTCTGGGTGGCTTCCAATCAAGTGTTAAAAACAGTACAGCATTAAATATTAAAAACTTCCCTATACAGGGCTGCCTTCAGATGTCTTTTAAAGATAGGATAGCTGCTTATTTCCTTCACATCTGAAGGGAGGGTGTTCCACAGGGTGGGCGCCACTACCGAGAAGGCCCTCTGTCTGGTTCCCTGTAACCTCACTTCTCGCAATGAGGGAACCACCAGAAGGCCCTCGGTGCTGGATCTCAGTGTCCGGGCTGAACGATGGGGGTGGAGACGCTCCTTCAGGTATACTGGATCAAGGCTGTTTAGGGCTTTAAAGGTCAGCACCAACACTTTGAATTGTGCTCGGAAACGTAGGTCTTTCAAGACCAGTGTTATGTGGTCCCGGCGGCCGCTCCCAGTCACCAGTCTTGCTGCCGCATTCTGAATTATTATTTAGGCAGCTGAGAGCAGGAGGAATGTCCAGAAGTGACCTTTCACTGCTGTGACCTGTATTATCCTAATTCTTAATTATCTATCATTTTAGGGACCTTTATATTAAAAGAGAAAACAAGACTCTGCAAGCAAAAGCAGCGGATTATCAAACCAATTGGGAAATTATCTGCAAAGATTGTGGACAAGTAAGTGTCTTGTAATGGGCTTGTAAATTTTGGTTGCCTTAATAATCAGCGATTGTTTTACTCAGTTGTCATCTTTTCCTTACGGATTCCTTCATTTATTTCCCAGGTTTGGGGAAATATGATGGTGTTCCGAGGCCTAGACCTGCCTTGCTTGCAAATAAAAAATTTTGTGGTTTCGTTCAACGACAAGAAAACTTCTGTCAAAAAGCTCTTCAAAAGATGGGGCGAGCTGCCCATCAAGTTTCCAGATTTCAGTTATGCGGATCATTGCATTTCCAGTGATGATGATTAAGAAGGCTTCAGAGAGAGAGAGACTCGTAAGGCATGTGGAGATGCTAAGATTGAGCACTCAGGTTCTGAATAGGGAAAAGTTTACTTGAGCATGTTTATGACTTGAGGACCACAGCATCAAGCAATGGCTTGTATGCATGGCAAGAGCTTTCTTTTCGCATCAGATTCTGAGTAGTCAGTTCATGCGTTCAGCTGTGAGTCACAGAGTGGGAAGGAATAGTTGCGTGATGCCCACACTTGTATAAATTAGCTCAACAATGTGGAATTGCCAAGTGCAGTGGAAAGCTTCTGGGGAGGGTCATTTTGCTTGGGAGTTTGCATTCGACCCTGCAGTGGCTGTCTAGGGTGGACCAACGTCATCAGACCATGTGGAGCCATGTCTCTAATCAGCAAACAGCATTAAATAAAACCCATGTTACCAATTCTTCTATTGCCTAATACACAGCTGATGCTATATTTAAGTTCCTGTGCAATTCATCAATAAAAGCACATTTCCTAAATTGATTTGTGATCAAACTTTAACAAAAGAGGCAAAGTCTGCTGATGTTTTTCTAAATCTAGTGTCTTGTTTATGTTACAAATATATATGTATTTCAGCTACAAAATGTTTTGCACTTTAGTACCGGGCAGCTTGTTGCTCAATGTTTCTGTTAAATAAAAATAAAATAAAAAATTGGCCATTGGTGACTTTCTGTTCTCTCTCTTTTAAACTGTTTTTGACTGCAATCCTAATCCCATTTAACAGGTAATAAACCCCCATTTAACTCACCGGGACTTATTTCTGAGTAGTCACCTATAGGATTGCACTTGTTAGTTTATTGACATAAATCAGGCATGGGGAATCTGGCTATGCTGCTGTTTACTGAATCTACTACTCCCATCAGCCCTATAAAGCATGGCCAGTGGCATGGCATGATGGGAGTTGTAGTTCAGAAACAGCTGGCGGGTCAGAGGTTCTCCACACCTGCTCTAAATGTAAAAGGTTGTATTCTCAGAAGGAAAAAGAGTATGGATTTATAAATTGGGAAGCCTGGGGCACCGGTGAGCGGCATTCTTGGGGAAATTGTATATTTATAACATCTTGGATAAAAGAGAAAGTATTGTTAAACAGGTTCTTAATATTACCATAAAGAAGCAAAGTGAAAGGGCAAGTATCTTAGCACTTGTATGTATGTGGATTGTATTCACTGTGTGATGCATCTACACTAGCTGTTTAATTTGGAGTGGGCATCATTCATTCCATTAAAAAAAAAGGATGGATTCAAACTACAAGAAAGAAGATTCCACCTAAACATTAGGAAGAACTTCCTGACAGTAAGAGCTGTTGGACAGTGGAATTTGCTGCCAAGGAGTGTGGTGGAGTCTCCTTCTTTGGAGGTCTTTAAGCAGAGGCTTGACAACCATATGTCAGGAGTGCTCTGATGGTGTTTCCTGCTTGGCAGGGGGTTGGACTCGATGGCCCTTGTGGTCTCTTCCAACTCTATGATTCTATGATTCTAAGTTCAGATTTTTATAGAGAATTCAGATTACATTGTCTCTTCTGGTATTTTTCATGTTGCTTTCTGGGATAGGATTTTTGTCTTAAAGCACAATTATATTGCGAACCTACCCAGTGTAGATTTGCAAAGAATTATTGGGGCTTTTAAGGCCACTGTCACTTTAATTAGTGGTATAATTGTCGTGTCATTAGTCTGTTCCTACACCAAAAAGGACCCCGATTTGCATAAGATATGCATACAGTAAAAAAGGTAAAGGTAAAAGACTCCTGGCAGTTAAGTCCAGCCGTGAACTACTCTGGGGTTGCGGCGCTCATCTCACTTTACAGGCCGAGGGAGCCGGCACTTGTCCGTAGACAGTTTTTTCCGAGTGATGTGGCCAGCATGACTAAGCCGCTTCTGGCGCAACGGAACACCGAAACCAGAGCAGCGCACGGGAAATGCTGTTTTTTACCTTCCCTGCCGGAGTGGTACCTATTTATCGACTTGTACTTTTTTTGGCGTGCTTTCAAACTGCTAGGTTGGCAGGAGCTGGGACTGAGCAACAGGAGCTCACTCCGTTTGCGTGGATTCGAACCGCCGACCACCTGATCGGCAAGCCCAAGAGGCTCAGTGGTTTAGACCACAGCGCCACCCGCGTCCTATGTATATGGTAATGTACATTAATAGATGCAACTGCACGTTGCAATTTAAATAGAAATACATTGCCATTGGGGGGGGGGGGAATACTTTGGCCACCTCATGAGAAGAGAAGACTCCCTGGAAAAGACCCTGATGTTGGGAAAGATGGAGGGCACAAGGAGAAGGGGACGACAGGGGACGAGATGGCTGGACAGTGTTCTCGAAGCTACCAGCATGAGTTTAACCAAACTGCGGGAGGCCGTGGAAGACAGGAGTACCTGGCATGCTCTGGTCCATGGAGTCACGAAGAGTCGGACACGACTAAACGAACAACAAGAGGGGAAAACACCAAGTGGCTTGGATGGATGCTCAGTCTGCTGGCAGGGTGCTGCTCCAGGCTCCTCTATATTTTTATGCTTCCTTTTCTTTCTTTCTTTTTCAACAAAAATAACAAACAACAAACAACCACAAACAAGAAAATTATACACAACAACAATATCAAATCCATAAAATGGGATTCTCCTGTGACTTCCCTCCCCTTGTTCCTTAAATTCCCTTTTCAACTGCATGTCATTTCTACTCCAATTTGGGTTTTTTGCCTCAAATTTCCTATATTCTGAAATGACACGTGTTCTTAAAATCCTGTTTAAATGTATTAACCTGTTTACAATACTTTTGCAAATACATAAAATTTACCATGCTTTTTAAAAATTTCTTATCATCTTGGTTCCTTATCTTTAAACCAGACTTGTCCAGAGCAACCCACGAACAGAGGACACCTTCAGATAGAGGGAGAACAGGACTGTCCTCTGCAAAGGAGGACAGCCAATCTTAATTCCATCCATTCGTTGCTACTAACTTAAGTCCTTCTTATGCAATTGGCTCTCCTTTGAATTCGGGCCTACCTCTGTAATGCAAGGCAGAGCTGCTATTTTTAAAATATATTTTAAAGAGGCAAGACAACTGGGGTGGGGGGGGGGGAGGCTGGTTCACCAACAGGCCTGTGAGAAGCCTCCCTGCCAAAAAACAAACAAACTCGAGAGAACCTACCTGCTTTGCTCAGTATGGTGGTGAAGGCAAGGAGGTCGTCTTCTCTTCCAAGGCCTTCCTGTGAGCAGATGTTGGATAAAATTGCTCCTCAGTTGCAGGAGGTAAGGGAAAATGGCAATCTTGCACCGAGGTAGACTTCTAGTTAACACGTGCACAGTTTGGGTGGCAATTTTACACGTGGACTCAAGTCTCTGCTACTTTTAAGACTCTTAAAATGCTTGCAGATCCAAGAGCATGGCAAGTTGTCGTTGCTGTTGAATTTGCTTGCAACTGCTCTGTTTTGCAGTAAGGTGGTCCGTGGTTCAAATCTCGTCTCAGCCAGAGATATCTCTTTAATTAGCTAGATTCTCTTCCCCAGCCACCCAGCCACAATACTGTGAAAATAACATTGGCCTACCATGTTGTACACGGGCACAGTGAACTCTCTGTACTCTTTAAGACCAGGGGTCAGCAACCTTTCTCAGCCGTGGGCCAGTCCAGCGTCTCTCAGACTATGTGGTGGGCTGGACTATATTTTGTCGGGGGGGGGGGGGATGAACGAATTCCTATGCCCCACAAATAACCCAGAGATGCATTTTAAATAAAAGGACACATTCTACTCGTGTAAAACCAACAGGCAGGCCCCACAAATAACCCAGAGATGCATTTTAAATAAAAGGACACATTCTACGCATGTAAAAACACACTGATTCCCGAACCGTCCGCGGGCCAGATTGAGAAGGCAATTGGGCCGCATCCGGCCCATGGGCCTTAGGTTGCCTACCCCTGCTTAAGACCCTTGCTTGCATACCTGCCTTGGGACTAAAATAAATCCTGCTACTGGCTTGTGTTTAAAGCCTTACCAAGAAGCAGTGTAAAACCCTCATGCATAACCGATAACCTGTGGGAAGCCTGAAGGCAGGAATTAAGATCCATTTGGTGACGTGCTTTGCAGAGTTCCTGTAGGGATTACTAAACTAACATTTATGAAGTACTTTTGAACGCCTGAAATGAGTTATATAAATCCTACATAGATACTGAACCAGCTCCTTCCTTGTGCAAGGATTTATTTCTAAACGAGGGGATATAATTTGCCTAACTTGGGCATTTAGCTGGGTAATGGAATGAGTTTTAATTCAATTGATCAATTTAGGTTGCAATTCTTATCTAGATGCAAGACCCACTGAATTCAACGGGACTTCATTCAGTGTAGACACTATTAGGGCTGAAACTGTAAATCGGCAGGTATTTTCATGTTAATCAACAAAAGTCCCAATATTTCCCTCCGTAACTTTATTATTTATAATAATTAAATCTCTTTACTCCCCTATACCCGCAGGTATCAGGGCAGTTCACAATGTATGAGCAGTTGTTCACAACATATGTATGCGCATGTCACAGTATAATGCCATTTTAAATGGGGACCGTGTATCTTGTGTAAGAGTAGTTTCGTTTGTTTTTTAAATGCTGCTTATTAAAATAATAGAAAGTAATTTAGAATTTACTTTTCAATTGAATAGAAATTTAAGCAAAATAGTAAAAAAAATAATAGTGATTTTAACACACACAAAAAGCCTGTTTAATTAGAAATGTGTTTTCAATCAAAATTACTGATTTTTAATTGAGGAATCAACTAAACATTTAGCGTTCTGACAGTCATTCTGTCAGTGCCATAATTTCTGCTTGCCAGATGGAATAGAACATCTCTCCCCCTCCCCACACCCTGTTCTGGAAGGGTTCTCTCAACTACTCTTAGCCATTTGGGTGTGGGGGGGGGACCCCAATGCGTTAGCAGAATTCTTTATGTGACTTTCCACTAGTGGGACTCATTAATTGAATCTGCCCCCAAGGGTAGGACTCAAATGCAGTCAGACTCGGAGAAGACTGACTGACATTAATAAGAGCCTATTTGTTTCAACAGGTGTACTCTTGAGTAGGATGTATTTATTTGCCGCCCATTATTGAGGCAACACCTTAGGCAGGAAACGGTACATGCGAAACTGTATATGCTCGTAATTTCAATTTGGCCTTTCCTTTTTATGGCGCAAGTGAAATGAAACGCGTAACACCGGAACAGACTTTTGTCAACGTGTGTTGGTTGCAAAAGCACCCTTTCAGAAGGTGCTTGCAGCTGCGCCAAGTGGCCACTGGAGCCCGCTGTAGTGCTTACCAAGTGCTGTGCAGACTCTCTGCTCATCCGCTCTCTCCAACCATATCCAGCAAGGAGAGAGGAACCTGGGAACAGTAGAGGGATATTTCAAAGAAATCAGTAGGCTTCAGTACTGGTTCCTGATCCTGCTGTGGTGGTAACAGGTATCTCTTTCTACCCCCTGTAGGGAATAGCCTGTCATTGAAATTCTACTCAATATTGATCCAGAGTAGATTCCGACGTATAGTTAGCAGAGTGAAAACTTAAACACGTTGCAGGACTCCCGAAAAATAGACCAGAGGGAATTGTATTTCATCCAGCAGAGCTTTACTGCTGCGGAAGGCAAATGAGTATAATGGTCACAAATCCAATACACTCAGGATTGGCACTGTCCATAAGAAATCCATTTGCAGCAGACTTAAACTTACAATAACTTATAATTAAGTCTAAACCTTAACACTAAGCATACTATGTACAGAACACCACACCAGAAGGAAAAGAGAGAGAAAAGACAAAGTGAAACCTAGGCTCCTTCTGGCCTCTTATTATAGCATGACCTTGACAGAAGAGATAAGAGAACCAGTTTAAGCCAGCTGTACTCAGCTTCCCTGAAGGAATAACCCAAAGATCATGAACCTCCTGCTTGCTTGTTTCTTTCACAAAGAGAAGCTTCCAGAACCCTCTTGATTTAAGTAGAATAGGAAAGAGCTCTACACATCGGATCAATACGTTTTGTACCAAGAATTGCAAACTGACATAGCCAGAGCTCAGTGGTATCTCTAGGCAGGCCTGGGAATGTTTCCTGTCCAAAAAACCCTAGATAGCTGCTACCAATCAGTGTGGACAATTCTCAGCTAGGTGGACCAGTCACCTAACTCAGTATAAGGCAACTTCCTGTGCTTTCTAACCATGATGCTACAAAATTCATACAGCACGGCTCCATCTCTGCTAGCAGGGGGATGGCGGCAGTTCCCTTACCCCAAGTTATTTGAAGGGTTTGTTTATGTTGGCTCTAGACTTCCTTTCATTCCAAAACATTCCAATTTAACAATGGAAACTTCTAACCAATGAAATGAACACAAAACACAATATGTTAAATTCCCCCAAGGATCTAGGCACCACACTTTTAACTATTGTTTACCACCATCCGGTTCTTCTAAGACTCAGGCTTTCCATACTGAACTTGTAAATCTACAGAAACCGCTAGTCCATCCAGCTCAGGTGTGAGGAACCTTTGGTACCCCCAGATGTTGCTGAACTACAACTCCCACAATCCCTGGCCAAGGCTCATGCTTTCTGGGGCGGATGAGAGATAGTTCAGCAACATCTGGAGAGACACCAGTTCCCCATCCCTGGCCTATTCTTTGGGGCAGTGACTCCTTAGGAACTTAGACAGAGACCCTTCTTTCTTACAGAGACATCAGAAACTGGACCAGGGTCCATATATGTGTAAAGCATGTTCTCGCCATGTAAGAAAAAAGAAAGAAAGAAAGAAAATATAAAAGAAATCGTTGTAGGGCTTTCACCCAACTAAAGAAATCTTTGTCAATTAATTGTATACATTTTATTCAATCAATCGGTTAATTAAATCTGCAGAAATTTTCAAAAGAGAAAAGAATAGTTCTAAAGAAAAGCCAAAATGTTTTTAGATTATGCCTCTTTGTCGGAGCAATGACCTTCATACAAGAGTCATTCACCAGTCACTCTCACCCCAATGACTTTTTTAAAGATAGCATTTTGCCAGTCACTATTTTTTATACGTACTTGTATTGCCAATAATGGTCTGTTTGGTCCAGGCATCTTTGTAATCAACTAATTCTTTTACAATAGATTAATCTCAGCCACAATCACAACTACAATTCTATACCCACTTACCTGGGAGTAAATCTCATTGGACTCCATAGGACTTAACTTCTGTGTAGACATGTGTAAGTTAATGCTTTAAACACTGCAGCCTTAAATTTTTTTAACCCTCATTTGGTTTAGTGGGTTTTCTTCAATGGACAAGCAATATCTTGGTATTAATGCTTCTACCCAGCAGCACACAGGTCATTGCTGGTTTTTTGAAGCAATTGCTCCTCACCTAGAAAAGAGGATGAAGAAGCAGAAAGCCAAGACAATGGAGGTGAGCATGCTTTTTATTGACCACATGAGCAAATCATGCCACAGCTAAGTTTTTCCCTCATCATTAACTTTTTTCACTTGGCAAGACTGTGGTTCCTTTGATTGCCACAGGGAGGCAGAAATTCAACAAGCTGAACTTTATCAGTGTATCTCTGCACTGACGTGAAATTCTACCTGTTGAATCTCTGCCATGCAGCTCTTAAAGGCATAGGAGGTTCTTCAGCAGAAAAGAAAAGAAAAAGCGATGAGCCCCATTGATCTCACGTCATACAGTTCATTGAAGGCTTTCTGCCAAGATCTCCCCAAACACAAAAGCTGTCATGGAAGAAAATTGTCTGGGCCATTCATTGTTCAAATATAAAGTGTATCCTTTAGACCAGCTTCTATCTCCAGCATCTGCTGGAGAAGATCTTGTGTTTGCTGACTGCTAGTGGGCTTGGTGGCCAGGTGTAAGGTAGCTCTTTCCTCCTGCTGCTATTTCACATGAAAAGTGCAACAAGGAGAAAACGGTTCCGGTGAAAAGGCAGTTGGCTCATACTCAACCTCACAAAGCTCTCCCAGTTTCTTAGCTCTGGTGTCCTTTCAGCGAAAGCTGCAAGCTGGGTGTGACAATCTTGCTAACATTTGAATGCTCTGATCCACTTCCAATCTGAGGTCATCAGCTGAGAATGTTATTAAATGCTGTTTGGCAGACCTAACCAGAAAAGGTTGGGGCTTAAGTTTCTGTGTTCAGTATGTTGAAGGGAAGGCTAGAAATCTAGAAAGGAGGGGGACACAGTCTTTGATACACAAACAATATCAGTGTTATTAACCAAGGTACCAACAGCGGAATCCTACTTAGCATGTTTCTTCAGAAGTAAATTCCACTGAATGCAATCTTCTTTAGCTTAGTGTGCTTAGGATTGCAGCATGAAGGATAGCTGGCTGCTGGCACAACTGCACAGAGCATTTAGGCCTTTTGCACAAAGCAATAAGCACAATTTCTCCATCAGCACAGTCCTGTGCATTCTAAGAGGCAAGGTGCCCCTTAATTTTTCTCCTGCTCCCTTAATACATTAAATACTCTGCATGTTTTATGTAGAAGTGCTTAATGGGGCTTACGCCAAAATAAATGCGTGCAGGTATGCTTGTGTGCATAGGATTGCAGATTAAAGGTTGAAGCAATGTGTACAAAAACACAAATACTAGAGTAAGGTATACATGTGTATGTATCAGAGAAAATGACACACACAGAGATACTTGCTGGCAGAGACGTAGCATGGGGGAGGGGCTGCCGGGGCTATGGCCCTGGGCACATTTTTTGGGATGATCCCACCTCGCAAAGCAGCTTGGAGCAGGTGTCGCTCCGGTGGTGGCAAGAACTGGGCTGGCGCAGCGGGCTCCGTTCACCCTCCACTTTCCATGCCCGCCTGCCCCGGGCACCAGCAAACCACGCTACGCCACTGCTTTGGGGGGTTTGACAGGAGTTATAGTTCAGCAACATTTGGAAAACAGAATATGAGAGGACCGGACATGTTCAAATAACTTTCCTGCAAAAGTATTGGAACGAATGCTCAGTAAATGGGCTGCCTGCAAGAGCCCTATCTTCACCCTTAAAGAGTCCCTCCTAACAGCTGCTTTCTTCCTTTTCATAAGGAAAGCTTTGTGCCAGTAAATCGAGAAGAACGCCTGTTTAATAACTTGTCTGGAAGAGGCAAATTGTTTCAGTTTCCTTCGAAAAAACCCCAGTGCTAATCAAAGAGCTGTTTGGGGTCTTTGATGAGGACATAGGAGGCTGCCTAATGGCAGGTCATATTATTTCTCCATCCAGTCCAGTATTCTCTGCTCAGGCTGACAGTGGCTCTCCTGGGGTCTTGGGGAGAAGTTTTTCACCTTGTGTGATTACCTGCTATCTTTTAATTGGAGGTGCTGTAAGTTGACCTCCTTGCATGCAAAGCATGGGCCCTACTAAAGAGCTGCAGTAATTTCCCTAAGGTATAAATTAGTTTCGTGTGTGTGTGTGTGTGTGTGTGTACACACACATAACCCCCCCCAACTATATTTACATATGTAGATCCACAGATTCTCCACTTCTTCCTTAATTTGTTGCTGTATTATGAGTGCACCATCTTGCTTTTGAAAACGTTTCCTGCTTCAAGTATTGCCAAAACGCACTGTAAATACTTCTCAGGGTGAAACAGCACATCTCCAATCTGCTGTTGAGTCACAGGACCCACAAACTCTTCATGTAAGCATCGTTAAGTTGTGGTTTACATGAACGGCACTGATACAGCCAAAGGCCCGCTGCAGCCACCCACAGTTCACTTCAGGGCTGAGAACGCCCTCAAAAATCTGTTTCCTATTTTATGGAAAAACCTCTGAAATTTGGCATGGATTTTGAAAGCACATAAAGAAAACTGTCTGAGGCTTGGCCTCCGTTTGAGAAAGCTGACGCTGCTTTTGCAAACTGCTCTCAGAGATCCAGTGACCGGCATCCAGAAGAGGGAAGGAGAACTAAAAAATCTTCCTTAAGAGAACAAGCGGGAGAATGAAGGTCTGTAAAAAATAATAAAGTGATACATAAATAGGTCTGGATTTTGGAGGGCTTTGAAAACTTTTTGTTCTGTTGCTCGGCTGTGAGAAAATATCAGAGGCAGAAGGCACGCTCTCAATAGGAAAAAGAAACTGAAAAAACATATGGCTCAAGACATACTTGAAGGAGACTTCAGCTGTTGGCATACAATATGCTGCTGAAATGCTGTAGTTTTGCTTTGGGAGGAGGGGAATGGACTATAACAAAAGTCTTGAGAACTGTCATTTAGGGAAGACTTGAATTGTAACTGATTTCTATTCTACAGATCCAGCTGAAAATCTTAGTTGGAGTGATCTCATGTCTTTTCCTGTCTTTGTTCATTATGTGTGCTGTATTAATTCCTCCGAAAGGTAAGAATTTTCATTCCTGGAAAATACAAAATCCTATGTCCATAAACATGTCTGCAGGCAGAATTATTTTCAGCAGGACTTAACATGCATGTAACTTTGAGTAAGTTTGCACCCTAGCTTTTCTTTCTTTCTTTTTAAGCTACAGCTAACTAGTTTAACAATAGGGAAAAAATCCATTTGCTGTCTTCTTGCCAGCACTACTGTGGGTTACCTAAGGTATAGGGATTTGGGGCTGCCATTATCTATACCCTGGAAAAATACAGGTGCCTGCATGTGTCGATGCAAGGAATTTTTCAAGTGAAAAGTCTAGTTGCATTGCCATTGGTGCGCATCACTAGTAATACATTTTGACAAGGCTACAAACAGTGTTTGGAACGGCCATCTACCTGTTAGCATGCATTTCCGAACTCATGACATTTATGGCTTATTTTCCTCCTATCCGTTGCTTTGGATCGGGTTACTGATAATCCTGGGTACATACAGTGTGCAAGCACTGAGTCTGATAGGGTTTCCTTATGGGATCTGGCATCTTCCTGTATGTACACGTGAAGTCAGGCCTATCCAACAGTCACTCAGAGATTCAACATTAGTCATGCTCAGCTTATACCCACCGAAATGAATGCTCCTAAGTCAACTGATCTTAACTAATGAGTGACAGATACCACCCCATGACTGTTGTAACAGAAAGCCTCTCAAAAATAGAAAAGGAAAAGCTCATCCTACTCATTTTTTTTAAAAAAGAAAAGAATCAATGTTTCTTTCATCAGGATAAAATGATGGGAATGTGCATCAGTTATTTTTGTTGCTGTGCATATTGTGCAGGGAGGGGAGTCCATCCTCCGTTAGTTCTATGTTTATATAAAACAGAAAATATCCTCTATTAATTCTGTGTGTGGTAGAAAACCAATTATTCAGCAAACCTTAAATGCTACCTTCAACAGCTTTACCAAAAGGCCCCTTAAGCTACTATGGATGACAGCAGAGCTGAGAGATACGTACTTAGCCTGAACTTTTGACAGGCAAAGCATATGAAAAACAGGGCAGATATTAATGAATTTTATTGCTGATGGGAGGCTAACATTTTACAGCGTATAAAACGTTCATAGCTAGTAATCTTGGCAGCCATTTATTTCTACTAGCAGTACATAGCTTTTGGCACTTGGGTGCATATTTTTAGGGCTCACCTTATGTCAGTGATTGTGAGTTGTTTCAAACTGCTTTTAATATTAGATTTTAACATAACCAGCCTGAGACCTTAGGATGCTTGGGAGGTGAGGTAATTAATAATGATAATATGATTAATATTTTATCTCTGTAATCAGCTGGGACTTAATTAGACTGGCCTTCATCTGCGCTTAGCCCCAGTAACCTTGTATTCGGAACAGATAACACAAGAGACAAGACTGCCTTGAACACATACAAAATGGCTTTTCCTTCACAATGAAGAGCTATTCCTGCATAATATATCTAAGGACTGGGAATAAGAGATTCCAGGACAAGAAGTTCCAGCTTAAGCTTAGGGGCAACTTCTGTCTTTTAGACAGCTTCTGTCTTAGGCCCTTTTTCTCAGCCAAGTGGACCCTTTGCCTCAGGCCTCAAAGCTGGACCATTGTGAAGTCAAAGTCAAAGTTTATTTGTTGTCGCGACCATCCTGGTCAATTCAAGCGACCATTGTGAACATTTCTGGTGCTGACTTCCCTCAGCAAACAGAATGTTCATGAACATTCCATGATACCACAACAGTTCATCCAGTGTCTAGGCAGGTACTAGAGCAGGAATGGGGAATCTCAGGCCCCCGGGGGTGGGGGCTGAATGTGGGCCTCCAAACCTCTTCACCAGGCTCTTCATCAGACCACTCCCCTCACCTGGCACCTCAAGTGCTTTTGTCTTGCTGGGACGTGTCATTGAACTGCGATAATGTTTCTTTCTTGCCAGGATGAGCAAAAGAGAGAAGTGTCTGTAGAAATCTCTGACTGCTGTGAGGAACACCTGTTGCTTCACCTGCTCTACCCTCTCTTCCCACTCCACCGCTAGCAGGTGGTTCTCAGAAGGTTGACCATAAGGGAGTGTGGTCTTCAGGTTGAAAAAGATTCCTCACCCCTGTATGCAATGATCCGCTACAGCCACCACCATGTCCTTCAGTACATTGCAATGTAGATTATATCACAAATATGCTGTCCGTCCTGAAGAAAAATATGAGCCCTGCAAGAGTCAGATGAAGACCATGTAGCCCTCCAGATGTTGATAGGCTCCAGCTGCCATCAGCCCCAGCCAGAATGAGCAATGGTGAAGACAGATGGGAGTTTTAGCTCAACAACATCTGGAGGGTCACAGGCTCCCCAGCCCTGAGCTACATAAATAGGTGACAAATGTCCTGTGAATAGACCTTATAACTACGAATCATGTAAGTTCCTAATACTGTGGAGTAACTTTTAGGTATTCTGGTAGAATTGCTGACAGTAGCATTTAAGATCCCCACTGCCCTCGCACCCAAACAGCATTGTCAAATATCCTTTATACCAGAAATACTATTAATAGCAGGTGTTTTATGTTAATTCTATGCTCACAATAGACATTTTTAAAAGGTTTTTTTTCCTGGAATGTGTGTGGCGAGTCATAAGATTCCTTTCACTTTATGCTGATTAAAATGACACCCTTGTGTTTTAATGAATTGTAGTGTAAGCTTTTTATCCTTGGCTTTTTTGAAGCTCTCAATTAGAAACTGCCATCTGATGGGAGACGAGCTTCTTCTTCTTTCATGTACATTTATTTTGAAAGATTATTGCTAACTCAGTATTTGCTATGATAGTGATTATTTGTGTGCCTAGACTGGCCTTTGGGTTTATTTATCTTGACAGCTTTCTTCTGCATTCGCGCTGGCGAGGAACAGTGTCAACAGTAGAAGTGACATGTGTGTTCTAGAGTAACTAATAGTTACATAGAAGAAGAAGAAGAAAAACAAGCATTATCTTTCCTTTTCCTTTTTAAATATTGATCTGTTAAAGTAAACGTGGTGAAATGTTTCATCAGGAGTCTGAATATATGACCTTGAGGGAAGTCCCTAAGTGAGGGAGTTATGGAGGAGCGAGTATCACCAGATACAATGACCAGATATGTTTCTCCTCTGAGCACCTACTGAAATGGTGGTCCTCTCAAATCTCCTTATTTACTACTGCAGCGTCACGAAGTTTTTGAAAATAGATTTGAACACATAGCTACAGAAATCAAGATATTTGTTTCTGAGAAATTGCTTGCTCAGAAACAACTTAAGGCTTGTGGTAGGTATTGTTCTCACTAGGCCAGGTTAAAAACAGACACATTTTGCAAAGATGTGCTAGCTTTTTGTTTAGCTGACTTAGAGGACAGACTGAGCTCAGCCGTTCTGCTAGCAGAAGCCAGTGCAAAGACTCCTGCTAATGCAACAATGCTTTCCCCAGGACCCGCCCAAGACATTTTGGCAACTGAGGCGAACGACAAAATGCCCCCTGCCCAACAGGGAACAAGGGGTGAGTGAAGTATACATCAGGAACAAGCGAAGAATAAAGATCTACATCAACAGCAAGCTGGGGGAGGAATCAAATCAATCTTACCCAATGGTTGAAGTAGGAATCAAAGGCCTTTGTGAAGGGGGAGGGAGCGAAGATGCCTGATCTGAATCATTCTGGGTGGGTGCAGAGCCTAGCGGACCCCCTTTCCTCCTTAAGGTGGGAGGAGACTAGCAGCGCCTCTCGTTCTCCAAGAGGCTGCTATAGAGGCGGCATGGGGGGGGGAGCTGCCAAGGGGCAGCAGATTCAGCCTCCAGTTAGTGTGGTGCAGCCATTACTGGCACTGCTCCAGCGGGCAATACATTCCTTGCAGGCTAGATCTGCTGCCCCTGTAGATCCTGCCACCCAAGGCAGTCGCCTCACCTTCCCTCATGGGTGGGCCAGCCCTGCATTCCTTCCGCTGCTCCCCTTACTTACCCCCCCCATGCCTCCCAGCCCCAGATCTGCTCTGGACGGTCAGGGGAGCCCCCAGAACAACACCCAGGGGGTAGGAGAGGGAAGATCCTTCTGTTGGGCAAACAGAAATGCTTGCGCTGATGGAACGATCTCCTTGGCACTAACCAGAATTCCAGGGATTACTCTCTGATGAATCAATTTAAAACACACACAAACACACAAGTTTGTAAAATCATCTGTGGGTAAATCAAGGACAGAAATGCAACAGGAAACAATTGCAAAGTTAGCATATGAGGCTTGTACAACTGTGTTTTTCAGCTGTTCTTTTTCTAATCCTTCATAAGTATGTTACAGTAAATGTGTTCCACGTAGGGAAACCAAGATGGAATGGCATGTTGACTCTTTGATCTGAGCCAACAGAGCTTAATGACAATATATTATGATGAATGCCTAAAATTGGTGAATTTCTGCAGTCTGAATTTTATTCCAAAATATTTTTTGTGAATTTCATTCACTCATTTCATTCCCCCCCTCCTCTTTTGGGATGTCCCCTTCACTGCCAGCAGTTTCATTTGGGTGGTTGTTCAGTGTCAGCATATATGCCTGAAATTTTTGGACATTCACAAAATTAGTCTTGGATTGTTAAAGTCTGCCAAGTTTTGGCCATTCATATGAACATGTTTTAAAAATAAATACAGTTTGAGAATTACAGCTAGGGCTGCCATACATCCGGAATTTCACAGGCGTAGCAAGGAATCATCCGTCAAAAATGACGTCCTGGTGGAATTTTCAAAAAGCGGGGAGAAATGTCTTACAAAGCGCATGCATATGGTAGCCCATATAGGAGTGCTGATTTAGGGGTGATTTTCCTATAAAAAACAAACAGAGGGAACCTACTTCTTCTTTTTTAGATTTTTCCGAAGAAGCGCAACAACTTTGCCCCACCCCCCAAGAATAAAGCTCAACAACTTTGCCAAAAAAGAAAAGAAAAGGCTCAAAATCTTTTGAGTCCAGATTTTCACTTTTTGAAATATGGCAACCCTATATACACTGAAGAACACAGGAAAGGGACCAGTGACTCTAAAACCTAGAACAGAGACCTTTATTGAACATTGCCCACCCTTGTTTGATATGAATGGAAAATGTTGTTTCATTGTTAATTCATTACATGGACTAGTTCAGCTGTGCTGACTGGGGCTGATGGGCACCAGATTGGAGGAGGCTGGAGTGCACCTGCTTAGTTCACGACATAACAAGTGGAATTGACATGTGGGTGTTCCCAGTTATCAGTCAAAATGAAAACTGGCATTCTTCAGAGACATAGAAAACCAGATTCCTTCTAGTCTGAGGAAGACATCTTTTGTGTGAAATGAAGGGTTACTGCAGTTCACCCAGCCTGGTACTTTTCAGCGTGCTTATAGGCGGAAGGGTATGTGTCATATCATCCTTGCAGGTCTACAACCTCCCAAACCCTCAGATTAGTGGCCAATTCAAAGGAATAAAATTCTAGAGACCATTTGTGCCTCTTGGCCATGTTGTTATTAAATATCTCATTCCTGTTCTGTTTTTAAAGTTCGAAACAAAGGAAGCAATCCTAGACCTTTAACATTAAAAGAATATCTGGATGGAGACTTCAGTTACAAAACACTTTCTCCTTACTGGATTTCGGGTAAGGGACGGCATGATTTGTGGTTCAATGAGTATGTGGTGCTGAAACATCATTTTGGATTATTATTTTTAAAAAACATACAAACTACAAAGCTTGTGTCCATTGATGCTTTTGTTTTTGTTTTATGTTTTTTATGGGGGGTGTTTTTAAATATTTTAAGCTGCCCTGAGAAATGTAAATGCATTGGAAGTATGGGGTATGTGGTTTCTAAAATGAAAAAGTAAGTGTGGCTAAAATGTTCAAGGAATGGGAAAAGGTGAGGTGTATGGGGTTTCATTCTGCCATGTAGGTGCCTTGGTATTAACTAGTGATTGCAGATTGAGATCAATAGGATTTGCAGAAAATAGGGTGGCAGAAAAAGGGCAGGAAAGAAGGGGGTGGCAGAAAGCATGAAAGAAAAGAGCAGGGCAGAGGGAGAGAGACAGAAAGAGAGAGAGAGGGAGGGAGGTGGCAGAAAGAGAAAGTTTCTGCTGTTTCTGTAAAGCAAGCATAATATAGAACCCAGCAGTATAAATTGTGCATCGTCTAATCTCTGCCCCTATCTCAGGCTGCGCAATGCCAGTGTGGTGTAGTGGTTAAGAGCGGTAGATTCGTAATCTGGGGAACCGGGTTCGATTCCCCGCTCCTCCACATGCAGCTGCTGGGTGACCTTGGGCCAGTCACACTTCTCTGAAGTCTCTTAGCCCCACTCACCCCACAGAGTGTTTGTTGTGGGGGAGGAAGGGAAAGGAGAATGTTAGCCGCTTTGAGACTCCTTCGGGTAGTGATAAAGCGGGATATCAAATCCAAACTCCTCCTCTTCTTCCTCTTCTTCTTCTTCTTCTTCTTCGTCTTCGTCTTCGTCTTCGTCTTCTTCTTCATACATTAAAAACACATGACTTCCCCAAAGAATCCTGGGAAATGTAGTTTACCCCCCACATAACTGCAGTCCCCTGCATGCTTAACAAACTACAGTTCCCAGGATTTGAGCTACCTGAGATGGCTCCATCTCCCCCCCACCTCCACAACCTGAATTACAGCATCAAAGTATTGTTATTTTAGATCCATTTCCAACGTCATTTGCTGTAACAGATGCTGTAGTGAGATGACATTTGTAACCAAGCTTATTGTAATCATTCAGGCTATGTTTTTCCTCCTCCCTCCTAAGGAAATGAATATCTCCATCAGTTCTCAGAAGATGATATAATTCTTTACAATGTTGAATATGGGCAGTCACACACACTCCTGTCTAACAGCGTACTTGTACGTATTACTGTAATTTTTAAAATTGATCAAAAGGCCATGCTTTGGTTTCTAATTCATATCTTTAAATCTTTTAGAAAAAAGTCAATGCCACAAACTATATCCTGTCAGCTGACCAGAATTTCATGCTGTTGGAAAGCAACTACTCTAAGGTAAAATGTTTTTCAGCTCAGATTTGTGAGCGGAATCCAGTGCATTTGTTATGTTTGTGTAACTCCCCGTTTTTAGTGAACATTGGTCACGTTGTTAGTGAATGATAGAACTACCCCCCTCCACCCATGTGGTTCCCATGTCCTCCCCAAATCTGCTCCATAGGTTTCGGGGAAATTCGCGCTGGCCATGCGAAATGCGAAAAAAACTTTGCCCATGGGTTGCCTGAGTCTCATGGTGTGTCTCAGGGATGTGCGCTGTAGATGTCAACACACTCTACTTGGCTGAACAACCTGTGTAATTATTGTCCCTTATACTTTCTGGAAGCTAACCCGCTATCACTACCAGGAAACATTTCCAGCAACTTCCACAAGGTGGGCTGTGTTGTGATAACTGGTGCTAGGACAGTGCCATTGTGAAGGTTCGCAGAGCTTTCATAAAGGGAAACTGTCTTCTGTTAAAAAAGTGTTGGGAGGAATACTGTATGTTACTATGTTTTGGCTGTAATAATAACTAATCATGTTATGTTTCTGTTGTAACTTTTTCAGCTCTGGAGGTACTCTTATACAGCATCCTATCACATTTATGATCTTGGAAACAGGTAAGACTGAAAAGGTTTTCTTTTATACTGACCCACGAGTCAAACTGTTCCGTGTTTGCTCTTGGTCTTCTATTTGGGCTCCTTTAAGGCATACTTTTTTTCCTCTTAGGAGAACAGTGATGGCCACCAACTTGGGGGGGCTTTAAAAGACAAAATCAGGGAGGATAAGGCTGTCAATAGCTACCAGATACAGTGGCTATACTCTGCGTCCACAGTCATCATCATCATCATTTATTATTTATACCCTGCCCATCTGGCTGACTTTCCCCAGCCACTCTGGGCGGCTTCCAACAAAACACTAAAATACAATAACCTATTAAACATTAAAAGCTTCCCTAAACAGGGCTGCCTTCAGATGTCTTCTAAAAGTCTGGTAGTTGTTGTTCCACAGAGCAGGTGCCACTACCAAGAAGGCCCTCTGCCTGGTTCCCTGTAACTTAGCTTCTCGCAGCGAGGGAACCACCAGAAGGCCCTCAGCGCTGCACCTCAGTGTCCGGGCAGAACGATGGGGGTGGAGACGCTCCTTCAGGTATACTGGTCAGAGATAGCAATGCTTCTGAATTCCTGTTGCTGGTATCCACAGGAAGGTAGAGTGTGCTCTTGTGCTCAGGTCCTGCTTGAGGGCAGTGGTGCCAACTTGGCCCCCAGATTGTGGGTGTCCAGCGACACGTGCGGCGTGATGTCATGACGTCACTTGCGCCATTGTGTGTGCATGCCGCTTGGCATCTGCCCGCCGCCACCACTCACTGCCTCCTCTGGCTCTCCGGTGTGGTGGCAACTGGGCCAGGGCCTCTGCCTCTGCTGTGGGGCCTCAGTTAGGGCTTGCCACAGATATGCTTGGGCACCCATAATGGGAATTTGTGGGTGCCGAGGTGCCCCAGGCTCCTGTGAGTTGGCGCCTATGCCTGAGGAGTCCCTTATGGTTGACAACTGTGAGATCAAGGAGCTAGACTAGATCAACCACTGCTCTCCTTATGTTCTTCTATTAGTTAGGCTAGCTAATAGGCACATTGTTTCCAGTGACGTTGCTAAATTATCTGCTTCTAAATAGTTATATCCAATGCTGCACATAGCAAATTCTGCTCACGCAATGGGACTTCCCCTTCCTCTCTTCTCCCTGCGTGCCCTCTGGGGCAGATTCTAAAGGTGTGCAAGGAAGGGGAGAGGAAAGTTCTGTTGCACAAGCAGAAGCCTACTGCACTCGCGGAACTCCACCGCAGGATATGTCCCAAATACTCTCGGCGTGTGCAGTTTTTAGGCTCCCTTAAATCACAGCACCGCCATGACTACAGGAATACAATGGGGCTTGCCTCTGCTGCCCAGATGCTTAACACATTGACTTGGGAATAAGCTCAGTCAAATTGTTGAAAAAGAGAGTTTTATAAAGTAAAAAATAATAAAATGAGTACCTGTAACCATGTACATGCCTAGATGGCTGCCCCCAACTATAACAAGAAATTAAATAAGAAAAGAAGCACCAGCGTTGGTGGGCTCCATTGTGCCCATGCCCACCTAGGTGCTCACGAGGGTCCTTTTGCTTTGCTGCCGACCCTTCTTTGGGGATTCTTTTGGGGAAGCCAAGGGCTTTACATGAAATCTGACCTTGAGATACCGAGCTTGCCTTTGCATCTTTCATTTCTTTCCCTTTGCAGTGCTTTTGTCAAAGGACACGAGCTTCCACATGACATTCAGTATATAGCCTGGTCACCTGTTGGACACAAATTGGTCAGTAAGCTCACGAAGTGTGAGAATAACGCTTCTATTTTTATGAGATTCATTTGCCTTTAGTGTTTGCTCAGGCATCGTTTTTGCAGGCCTTCTTATCTCTGCTTATCAGCTGTGCTTTAGAATATTGACTCTTAAAAAAGATAAACACCCCACAGCTGCCTGGAACTGTGGGTGCTTTAGCACAGAGCCCTGGTAATTGTTGAACCACTTTGTCTTCTCCGAAAACTAGACAAACCCAAGGTACAGGGACCAGGGTGTTAGGGTCTCTTCATTTGCTCTTTACCCAAAGACTGTAGTTTCTGACCCTCTGCCCAGATGCAAAGAGAGCACTACTGCCACGCTGCAGTTCATTTCAGCAGCTTCCCCATTCTTGGGCTTCATATTTCTTCTGTACCACCATGAACCTCTAACCCACCCTCCCTACTGAGAAAAACATCAGAAAGGGTGGATTAAGGATTGTGAAGCTAGAGTGAGGAGCGTGCCCTCTGCCAGGAGGACCGAGCCCTTAAGATTTGTTGCTTGTGGCCTCCCAAAAACATGGCCATGAATCAGGTCCCTTGTTATGCACCCTCTCAGCTCTATTAGCTGCAAGTCAATTTCTGCATGCTTTGGCACTGAGAGCTGTCCTGTTCCACAAAAACCTAGAGAAGGGTTCCTATTTCTGCCCTATTTCTCTAGGACAATATACAGAATAATAAGGGGGGGATGAGGCTGTTGGTGGCTACTAGCCATGATGGCGATGTTCTCCCTCCACTATCCATGGCAAAATGCCTCTGAATACTGAATTCCAGCAGCGATCTGGTAGGCTGCTATGAGGACAAAATGCTGGACTAGGTGGACCTTTGGAATGGTTCAACCCCCTGGGTTCTTACAAGATCAGGCGGTGTATAAATGCAGCAAATAATAAATAAATATATGGCCATTGTGTTTTATGCACACAACAAATCTGTGAGATCAGGTAGGCTTGGAAATATTGACTTGCCCACGGCCACCAGTTGTGCTTTAAGACTGAGCAAGGACTTGAACCCAGATTTTCCTAGTCCACTGGCAATATTGTATGGACTAGCTTTGCCCCTCCAGAGGCTGCTGGGCTTCAATTCCCACCACTGAACAGGTTTCCAATTGTTTAAAAATGTTTTAAATATGCTTTTGTTTTCTCTTTCCGCTCTGTTGTCTTAGGTGTTTGCTGCCCTGGGCTTCTGTGAGAGGAAGGGCAGGAAAGAAAGCTGAATAGTAGGGTGGTATCCATTGCTACTCAAGGGAGACCCATTGAAAATAACGGACATGGCCAACTTGGGTGCATTCATTTAAATAGGCCTATGCTGAGTAAAATTTAGCTGGATACAACCATTCTTATTCATCATCCCCAGCCAGCATAGTCACTAGTTAGGGATGGTTGAATCTGCAGTCCAGCAATAGGTTCTTCATTGCTGATATGCATGGCATGGATCAGATCTCCAAATACTTGTGTGTGAGTGAAAAGGCCCCCAGTCACACAGGAGAGATATAATTTTATCCTCGACTTGTCAGCCCCTAGCCACACTGAGCATTATGCCAAAGGATTTTCCTTGCAGCCTAGGGGAGTGAAAACTTGCACACCCTCTGTTCTGTAGAAACAGAAGTGCCTTCTGCCCTTTGCATCTAATTCCCTGTTTAGGTGTGCTACTGTCCTCAATAGCTTTGACTGCATAAAATGCTTTTGGGTTTTTTCTTCCCAGGTTTATGTGTATCAGAATAATATCTATTTGAAACAAGGCCCCAGAGAACCTGCTGTTCAAATAACTACAAATGGTTATTGGAATGAAATATTTAATGGAATCCCTGACTGGGTCTACGAAGGTAAACATCAACCTGAAATCAATATTATTGCCACGTGAGGCAAGAGTTGGGCAGCAAACAGATATGATGCCCTGAGCAGCAGCCAAAAGTTGTTCATAGTGCTGTGTTTGTGTAGAAGGCTTATATTTCTCATAAGGAGTCCCTTCCTCAAAACTGCAAAAAGCTAACTGCTAACTACAAGCCAGCATGGTTATTCACCATCATAATTTACTATTTGTGAACAGCTTTGCTCAACGTCTTACAGCAATAACATGCATTCTCACTGTGGTTTCCTAACATCCTGTATCTTGAGTTTTCACACCCTGCCACATATTTCTTCAGGGTAGGGTGGGGGGATATTTCCTTGTTAGTTTCTGCTAGGTTTTAGACCTACCCACTTCTGTACGTTTCTCAGATATCTGTCATAAAACTATCTGTCCAACTTAAGAACTAGTATCGTGTTTATCTGTAATATTAGGACACAATTTCTTCTAATTTGGCTTCTGAAACACTCCATTGATAAAAGAGACTCTGGCTTGTGGGCTAATAAGGCCCACCAAGCCTCATCATTTGGTTCGCTTGGCCATTTCAGCCAATATTACCTGTACCCTTCGGTCAAAATTACTCACATTCTTTATCTCAAGAGTATTTAACATCTATGAATATTTTACATTCTTTGAATTGTCATTCTTGTTACTCTTATTTGTACATCATGAATTAGAAGCAAAAGGCTCCTGCTCACGTTGCTTGCCAACCACATCTATCTCCTGACTTCATGCAAATCCAATGGGGACTGCGTGATGACAGCCTTGCATTTTTATGTATATAGGAAGAAAAAATATATAACCCATGCTATTAACTAACATTCATACACGTTTAGCTCTGCAATGTTCTTGGACATAGTTACATTTATTTAGATGAATAACTCGGGCCTCCCAAACAGGGAACCCTCATAACATACATCTATCACTGCCAATAAGGCTGGAATAATGCTATGCTTTGTCCCGAAAAAAATCTGTACAGCAGAGACAATGTCTCACGTGTCATTCAAGTTGCGGGCTTACCACTGGGACAGAGCTGCCTTGCTTGTTTGATGCATGGCAGCTTATCAGATAAATGGGTTCTATGTACACTGGTGTCCTTACAAGATAACGGTAGCTCATGATCCTCTTTTGTAGTAGAATAACATATATTTAACATGATTTCTCTTAGAGGAAATGCTTGCTGTAAAATATGCACTGTGGTGGTCTCCAAATGCAAAGAATGTGGCATACCTACAGTTTAATGATACTGGAATACCAGTTATTGAATATTCATATTATGGTGAAGATCAATATCCTAGAAAAATAAAGATACCATATCCAAAGGTATGTTTGGGGTTTTGTTGTTTGCTTTGCTTGGCTCTGTTGAATAAGATCTGATCATATTTCAGCGTAGAAATGCTTGGATTTCTAAGGTTTAATTGCTGGATTTTAATGCCTATTATTAAACTAACTATTGGGTTAAGCATTGTATATTTTGATGATGACATAATAAAGGGTCTGGTCCATCGTTTTACCTTTACCATTGGACATACTCAGCCCTTGTCAGGCATCAGGGAATCTGACCCCTACACAGTAGGCTGCCAGGAACAGATAGACGAGGAAAGTCTTAACAATGTCTTTTATTCAATATTCACAGAGATGCTGCCTCTTTGAGTAATGGCATTGTTCCAAGTAATCTCCACACACACCCCAATTGTCAACAGCACCACCCACCTTACGGTAGCCACTTAGGGCGATTTGTCTCCAAGCCCTTTGCTCTCCTACTTTCAATGCTCGCTGGGTTCTGGGAGAAGGAGGGTCTGGAAAGCTTTCTAGTGATAACATGTCAGCCAGCTGCTCTAGCTCTGCCTCCCCTGCCTCCTCCTCTCTCATTATTTCCCAGCTCTGCCCGTCATCTATCTCTAAGCTGTGACCTCTCGCAAATCACTGTTGTCAATCTATACTGTCTTCCTCTTCTCTGGAAGGTTCAGGCTGGGTAGGCGGGCTGCACCATTCCTCCTCTGTCCAGTCCCTGACATCCCTTCTGGTAGCATAACTCTCCATGTCCAGGATGGCTGCTGAGGGAAAAGGATAGAGACTGGTCATAAAAGGTTCTTCTGCATGCAGCGAGAGGAGGGGAAGAGGCAGCTAAAGACTGGATCCTTCCCTTCAGTATTTTGAAAGGGAAGTCAAAGTTGAGCCAGCTAGCCTGGAGAGCTACTGTAAGAACTTCACCACAGCTGTGGGTTGCTTCCAGGGAGAAGCCTATTGTGTGGGCAATTCATTTGTGGATGGCAGTTGTGTTGTGGTGAGAGCACAAATGCAACTCGCGAATGTGTAAAGTGTGATTCATGGCATGCCTGGGATATTGCTATTTTAAAAAACTGATTTATTATATTGTATCTTTGTATTTACGTTTCCCGTGGTCTTAATGTATTTTCTTTTGTATTAATACAAATCTTGGCCAAATAGCAATATAGAAGTAAAACATATGATGATGATGAAATATATTATAATCTATTTGCTCAGTGCCTACTGCGAACTTTCTTTCCGTAAAGGAACAGGGCTCACATGTATGCTAGCTTTTCTCAAACTTGGGTTCCCATATGTTGCTGGACTACAACTCCCATCATCCCTAATTAGTAGGACCAGTAGTCAGGGGAGATGGGATTTGTAGTCAAGCCCACTTATCCCCTTTTGGGGTTGGGTGGCATTGCAGGATGGCCAGCGCTCCCCCCCCCCCATGATGCAGAGCTGGGGCACCGGGGGCTACTCTTGCTGGAGTGCGAACTTTGGCTCACACTCCCAGCTTGAAATCCAGCTCTGTGCCAGCCTGCCAAATTGGCCAATGGCAGGCTGGCACAGAGGTCAGACCTTCTTGGGAGTGGGCCTGGGGGAGCAATCAGGTTTCCCTCCATTCCCTGGATATTATTTTGAACCTGATTATATGTTTTCCTTTGAAGGCTGGGGCTAAAAATCCTACCGTCAGAGTGTTTGTTGTTGATGCTACTTATCCTGAAGCTTTAGGTCCTAAGGAAGTACCTCCTCCAGCAGCGATAGCATCAAGGTAGTATTTTGTGAAACTGATATTTTCTTCTCCGTTTCGTTTCTTTTCTTTTCTTTTAGCAATAGAATTTTTATTTTAAACAGTCTGACCCTGGTCTCCCCACCACCACCGCCCCTTGCAGATCTGTTCTATGGAAATAGTGTAGATATTTGCTTTTCATTTTCCACTGCCATCGAAAAACTGCAGGTGATATCCTACTAAGTCAAAAACCCACTGGAATTTATGAACTTATGTTCCCTTTCCCTTTGATTTTAATGGGTCTACTCTGAGGAAGACAAATGTTCGACATTACTCCGACAGCCATAGGGAACATGGGCATAGCAAGGAGGGGCAGCTGTCCCCTTCACCATCAAGTCAATAAATAAAAATACTGAACTAAAAGTAGAAATTGTAGAAAGATTTGGGCAGATTTTTCTGAGCATTTGGGGTCAAAAGAAAGCAATTTAAAACAACTGTTGTCGAGACATTTCATTCCAAATCTGGTAAACAAAGCCGGACAGAGGATGATGGCAGGTGGGTGTCCTGTCCCCCCTCCCCACATATATCCTGGCTATGCCCATGGTGGGGAACCTTGGGCCAGAAGCTTGCATGAGGCCCTCCAAACCTCTGTCTGGCCCTCAGGCCTTTCCTTAGACCATACACTCCTCTCAGCCACATCCCCTCTCCCCACGCCACACCCTTCAACATACCCTCCTCAAGTGTTTTGACCTCGCTAGAATGTGTTCTTGAACACTGAGAATGCTTCCCCTTAGTCTGGCTGGAGGATCTGTAACTGTGGGATGTGTAAGTGTGGCCTTGAAAGGTTGCCCAGGTCGGAATGCAGTCCTTGGTTTGAAAGAGGTCTGGCTTGTCACAGATGTATTATTAAACACAATGCCATGCTGACCCCTCTCATAGTAAACAGCCCCTTTCTCTCCCCTCTTCTTTTCCAGCGATCACTATGTCACTTGGATTACTTGGGTGAGAGACAACCGAATCTGCGTGCAGTGGCTGAAAAGGATCCAGAACTTTTCCGTGTCAGCCATCTGCGACTACAATGACCGCTCCAGGTCCTGGGACTGCCCACAGGTACTGTTTCCCACCAAGCTAGTATTTTGATAGAAGACTTGCAGAAGTAGCTTCTGTTACCCACTGGTGAGCATTCGCGGTCACTGTATTACTTTTGTGCAAATTGTATGCGGGGGAGGGCACCCAGCCTTTATTGGGTCCCAAGCCCCGCCCACCTGGCCCGGCCGGATTGGCCAGGATTCAAATCAACAGGTGGCGGGAAAGCCTGCCCATCTCCAGTGGCTGGCCTGAGAATTCCCCAATGGCCGACTGCCTAGCCCCAGCGTTACTCCTGAGGGGAAGGAGCTGGACATGACGGGCCGCAACAGCCACCCACCCTGTGACTGGGTAAGCAGCCAGTCGTATTCCTTTTGTGCAAAAGTGGGGGGAAGGGAAGAGTTTTCCGAACACTGGGTTGGACCCCATGCTCTTGTGACTGGGGCTCTGCTCACTGACAGCTCCCACTAATTGCTAGGGGCAATTTCCAGCAATTTCCCCTGAAGCCCAAGGAAGGGCAGTAACTCACTGACAAGTTCCGGGTTCAGTCCCTGGCATCACCAGGGAAGACTAGGAAAGACTTAGTGCCTGAAACCCGGGAGAGCCATTGCCAGTCTGAGCTAGATGAACCCTCGGCCCGACTCAGGGCTCATCCATACTGTGGTTTCATGTGGGTAGGAAGCTTCCAGGATCTCCATTAATTCTTCGTTGTCCATATTACATTCTCCAAATCATGGCCTTCCCACACTTTCCCCTCCCTCAATCCAGATTTTCTTCTGTAAAGGTAAAGGTACCCCTGGCCATTAGGTCCAGTCACGAACGACTCTGGGGTTGCGGTGCTCATCTCGCTCTAAAGGCCGAGGGAGCTGGTGTTTGTCTGCAGACAGCTTCCGGGTCATGTGGCCAGCATGACTAAGCTGCTTCTGGCGAAACCAGAACAGCGCATGGAAATGCCGATTTACCTTCCCACCGGAGCAGTACCTATTTACCTACTTGCACTTTGACGTGCTTTCAAACTGCTAGGTGGGCAGGAGTTCTTCTGTAAGGGATACCCTAAAATGGAGTATCTACCACTGACCTACATGCAGGGCTGTTTTTCAGCCAGAATGGCACCATTGCCATTATAAGAGAACACTGAAGGGAGGCCTTCATGGTGACTTCTGGCCCCTCTTTTTCTGGAAAAATAGCACTGCCTAAGGGCTATGGCCCTGCCCTTATATTCTTACACCCACTAATGGGGTTACTGTACTTGAATTCTCTTTGCCTTATTCATACCATCGTTGGCAGTGGCCCTGCTGATCTACACGGAACACAGAGTCAGGTTTCAAGCTGCCAAATTATGCTCACTGGACTTGGAACCAGCATCGTGGCAACGTCAGGTCCAAACTCCAGGATAATTGCACTTCTCAGCATGTCCTGCCTGATGAGAGTCACTGCTGAAACCTCCACCACGTTCTGTTTATCAAGTGCTTTTTACCATATCAATCTGTGCACCAATGGTTAGTTAACAGGAGTGCGAGCAGATGGGAGAACTCCATTAAGCAGTGTTTGCTCAAAAGATCTCTAGGGGAATATATTTCCATCTCTTACTTTGTTTTCCGATTAAACCGGAAGTAATAATGCGTAAGAAATGTGGACTACTTCATATACTGGAAGATAATAAAAATGCAGTGGGAAAACAGTGTGAGGAGATACAGTGCTGCAAACTCAGAGCTGTGCGCTGAACTTCATGTTTATGTTCAGCAAATATGTCCCGATGAATAAAAATTAAATGCAGGCAAGAATTTGTGCGGCCAGCCAGAAATGCCCACCAAACTCAACTTTTTGAACGTGAAATAGAAGTTAAATTGGGATCGCTTATAGAAATTAAAACATGGACATGATTCTGTTGCCCCCCCCCCCCGCACTTGAATTAAACTGTAGCTATGCCTAATTGTATACAGGGCCAGATGCACCTAGTTAATGGAAGGTGTGTGCAGGAAAATGCATCAGAGGAAGATGCAATATGTTAATCTGCTTGCCCCATTATGCTTTCCAGCTATCAATCATGTAAGCAATGTTTTCAACTATCTTGCTAATATGCTTGGGAGAAACCTCTGGAAACAGACTGTACTCCTTTGCCAAGAAACTCTCTGTGTTGTGTGTTTGTGTGTGTTATTTTAACATAGTTTCCATGCAGGGGGTGAAAAACCCTCTACTTGCTTTCTTTCTGGATTCAGTATTTCCATACACCACACTCTCTGTCAGGGACTGGGCAAAGAGGGGAAGGAATGGTGGATACTGCCTCCTCAGCCTGAACCTTCCAGAGAAGAGGGAGATAGTAAGGATTTACAGCAGGAGTTTGTGTGTCGAGGACCCAACACCCGCATGGAAATAAATAAGACACAAGGATACATGTATTTTGGGTTAATGGGCTAAAATAAGGCCACAACTTTATTGGTTACAGCATGTGAGAGGTATTGGCTTAGGCATTGGATCAAACAATCTATACTTGACCCCACCCCTCTCAGCGGGGGGGTCAATCGAGGGTTAACTGCCAATGGGATGAGCTGGTTGATGCAAATACAACTGAAAGCTTCCCCAGACATCACCAGGGGTTGTGCCATGGCCCTAGCCACCAGCAGGGCATTGGACGGGATCCATGACCGCCGGATTCCTTTAACGGAATACCCAAACAAGGGAGGGGTAGGTGATGGCCACAACCTGCCCTCCAACACACCACACACATTCCAATGCCTAACCGCCAATACCCAATAAGTTGTGACGATTTGCTATGAGGTAGGCGAAAACCAAGAGGCTGGTACCAATTTGCCAAATGGATAACATTCTTACCAGGCCCCCTGGGCAACCAAGGCAACCAACCAAAGTCCATAGCAAGGTCAACAGAAACCTAGACATGACCTAAAGGGAGGGAGGGCAGGTGATTCAAAGAAAACAGGAAGCCAAATAAGGCTCCAGCGCCACCGCCACAGCTTAAGCACTTAAACCCCGCTTAAACCCCGCCCACGAGCCAGCCCTATTGGTTAGCTAATAGGCTTGGCAAGGCAGCTGGGGGAAGGCTGATATAGAGGGCCAAATACGCCCCCCTGCTGACGCAGGAGTCGGTTCCCACTCACAACTCCTCCCCTCTGGAAGGAGAAGAGGTCTTGCGGAAGGTCCCAGCTCAGAGGCTGCAGAGGGTAGAAACCGGGAAATATAGGGAGAGGAAGAAGAAGAAGCACCAGGGGAGAGACAGCTGACAGACTCAATGTCTTTAGAAAGCATTCCAGACCCTCCCCCTCCCAGAATCCGGCGGGCATTGAAAGTAGGAGAACAGAAAGCTCAGAGAGCACAGATCAGCCAACATAGGGATGGCGTAATAGAAGAGACGGAGGGGGTGTGACTTTACTTGGAGCAATGCCATTAGAAGCACCTTTTCTAGGCCCCTCTCTGTGAATATTGAATAAAAGATTTGGTAAGAACTCTCCTTGATCTTCTTGGTAATAACTCTCCTTGTTTAGCTGCCTACCGTGGCAGATTCCCTAAAGCCTGACACTATCTGTCCAATGAATTTGATGGGGCATTGGGCCTCTGGTGGCCCCCATGTCAGAATCCCTCTTATCTACCCCCAATTTATTTCTGTTTGTGCACAAGAAAGAATAGGTAGGCTTACTGCCAGAAAAGGACAGCAACACAAGTGTGGTGGTATCCTTCCAATGAGCGTTGTCGATCACCACCATTATGTAATTGTCCACAATTGGCTCAGTGTTGCAAAGCATTGTGGGCAATTATAATTCTGGCCACCCAAAACTCATCAGGGCATTGTTAAAGGGGCTCCAGGGCACTAATGGATCCTTGGCAACTCCTTGAGAGTAGCACCTGCTGGCCCCCACTTTGACTGTATTTTTTATTTCTCTTACGTGATGTAAATGCAAACAAACAGCCCTAGCCAGTGGACATAATACTGGGAGGTTCCTTCCCCTCTTAATAAAATTATTGACAGAATTGGGTGTACAATAGTTGACAGAGAAGTCATAACTCTGCTACTGAGCTGCAACATGGTGGATTTTTAAAAATGGAAAATAATTCCTTCAGAGAGCAAATTTACTGAAAACATTCCACAGGGATCCAGACTGTGGAAAAAAAATGTTTCATCAACAGCATTTAAATAAATCTAAGAGAAAATAAACATGTTATGTATATGTATAAATGAGTTGTATGCAACACTCAGCCGTAGCCTGCTATTACTTCATTTTCATTTTGCAATTAGAGTGCTAAACATCTGAGCCATACATTAATTTTGGCAGGTCACTGAGCACTTTGAAGTGATTCATAAGCCAATGTTTAAACACACTAAAAGACTTTTAGAATATCAGCGTGTAATTGTATTGATCTGTAATAGCATGCCATCAGGTTTTGTACATAACATTCCGATCAAACAGTTGAACGAAGCTGGAAGAAACAATCAGAGAACTATGGGGATGTTTTGGAAGTGCCTTCAGAAATGAACAGTACCTGTTGCTCAGCAGGGGCAAGTTGTTGGTGGTGCTGTGTCTAAAAAGGAAGTTCCACAAGACTAAAGCAGAACTAGGGATGTCAGGGAATTCCGACGGGAACAGAAACTGCCAATGTTCCCTTATTTATCTCATGTTCAACAAGTTGTTGTTCCTTTTGGTCTGCAAATGATACACGATTGATTGCTTTTCTTTCCCAATCTGCATTGTGTTTCCTTTGCTCTGAAATGAAACGCAACCTTTGCGCTGAAAAGAATGGTGTGGAGTAATGTAATTCATTGTGTTAAATGCCACCACGTTTGGACAGTGAGACGAATAATGCAGGGGGGTTTTTTTCTGGAAGCCGGTAAAAAAGATGTCTCCATTTCTCCACTGCAGGGAGACTGTTAACACCAAGGAAAATGTCTAAACCAGTGTTTGTTTTTCAGGGTTTTCCAGACTGAAAACTGTACTCCTTTAAATGAAGTTCTTTCACTTATGCCACAAATCCTCACACAGTTGCCTTTGTTCTTATTTTGCAGAAGCAGCAACATATAGAAGAAAGTCACACAGGATGGGCTGGTGGAGTACGATTTTTATTATCTTTACACTTCTGATTTTGTTGAAATATTGTAACAGTGCAATCCTAGCCATGTCTATTTTGAAGAACGTCCCGTTGAATTCAATGGATCTTCCGCCCAGTTAAGTAGGGTTAGGACTGTAGCCTTGTTTCCTGACTGATCTGCGCAGAAGACTTTTGCTTTTCACAGTTATTAATCCATGCACTTAACACAAATTTCATTCCAACTCAAAAACTGTTTTTGTTTACTTGTAACAAGCACAGATGGTCTTTTAAATGGAAATGAAACATCTTGGGGAGGGGGGAGAGTAGAAGTCGAAGAAGAATGGAGGATGTATTTGCATATTGCAGCTATATGAAAATATAAATTCTCAGCATAATAATGGTACAATTCTCATGTTCACATATGCGGTTTCTCATTTGTATTTACTTCTTCTTACCATAAAGGGACCAAGTGAATTTCCCTATTGATCATACTAGATTGCACTTTTTGTCATTGGCATAACAAGAATAAAGGCAACCAACTACACCCTAAACAATGTGCTCACACCTTTTGCTTTTAAGTAAAAATAACCTAATATGAACAAGGACCACTTATTCCATGCAGTTTTACCTGACTGAAAAGGTATTCGCTTCTTTGTCATCTACAGTTGATTTTATTTATTTTGTTTCTGTTTGTTTTGTTTTTTTGCCTCAGTTCTTTGTTTCAGCGCCTTCTTTCACTTCGGACGGCATTTCTTACTACAAAATATTTAGTGACAAGGATGGTTACAAACATATTCATTACGTCAAAGACTCGGTGGTATGTCAAGCAATTTAATCTTCAATTTTCACATACTCTGCAGTACAGTTGCCATAAATAAGACACCTGACTTTACATGTGTTCTCCCCCCCCCTTTTTTTTTTTTTTAGGAAAAAGCTGTTCCAATCACTAGTGGAAAGTGGGAGGCCATATACATTTACAGAGTCACAGATGACGCCATGTAAGCATTCTTCCAAGAACAGAGCGTTGGTTATGTCACCTGTCAATGAAAATTTACGTTCAATGCAAGAATGATTTTCTCCCTCAGACAAATAGCAGAACCCCATGTTGAGAGGTCGGGCATCTGCAAGGGCTTTTCCAGATGACAAGACAAAATGGATTCCCCATTATGGTTATTGTCTGGAAAGCTCATGATGTTGGGTTGAACCTGTGCTTTAAGGGCAGACAGACTGCTTTTTTAAGGTAAAGATGCATGTTACTAGAGGTATCTATTAATGTAACCAAGGAGATAGACACATTTTATATGTTGCCTAAATAGTATTGGTGTATTATTATTATTATTATTATTATTATTATTATTATTATTATTTATATGCCACCCATTTATATGCCCCAGCCACTCTGCTTCTAGCAAATTAAAACATCAAACACAGTAAAACACTAAACTTAAAAACGTTCCCTATACAGTGGTACCTCAGGTTAAGAACTTAATTCGTTCTGGAGGTCTGTTCTTAACCTGAAACTGTTCTTAACCTGAAGCACCACTTTAGCAAATGGGGCCTTCTGCTGCCGCTGCACAATTTCTGTTCTCATCCTGAAGCAAAGTTCTTAACCCGAGGTAATATTTCTGGGTTAGCGGAGTCTGTAACCTGAAGTGTATGTAACCTGAGGTACCACTGTACAGGGCTGCCTTTAGACATCTTCTAAAAGTCAGATAGTTGTTTTATTTCTTTGACATCTGACAGGAGGCCATTCCACAGGGCAGGCACCACTACCAAGAAGGTCTTTGGGGTGTGTATGTGGTGTGTGTGTGTGTGTGTGTGTGTATTCTGGCACATCACAAACCTTTTGGTTCTAATTCAACAGTGAGGTCACACAGCTTCTGAGACTTAATGCATACAGAGCAATTGCAAAAGCAGCAGTCCATTTTTCAGGAGGAGAAAATAGAATGGGAATAAATCTACTCCACCCCACATTCCTCCTCTCTGATTGGGGGCAGGGGAGCAGCCTGTGAGCATAAAACCTATTAGGTACCCAGTTCCTAATTCAAGTAGAGATATGTCCATAGAAGCCTATTGACCGTAGTGGGGCATATGGCCCCTAATTCTGTCAGAGCACCTGACTTTTAAAAATCAATATCCTCTTTGTCTAGTCTAACTCTAGGAATAATTTCAGGCTTCAGTTCTATGCATACTTACCTCTGAGAAACGCCCCACTGAATACATTGTGGTGTGCTTCTGGCTACAGGATTGCACTAACAATAACACAGACCTGTAACATAACATTCCTGCCTCTGAACAATCTTAACTATACATTTTTTAAAAAGATGACTGCAAAACTTGAAGTGTAGCACAATTATCCCAAAAAAGTTTTAATATCACATGTGTGTATATGGGCATATTAGCCTTGATCCAGGTATTTTGCTATCAGTAGGCTCGAGGGAACTTGCAAAAGTACAGCAAATCTTTAGGAAAACACCTTAAGGGGAAGAACCCCTTATAACAGCCTACTGAGGACTGAGCATGCTCAGTGGTCACGGAATGCTGACATGCTGTTGGGAAAGGGGGAATGGCAGCTTGTTGGAACCCTGACCAGGAGCACTGCACGCTGCAACATTTTGTTGTAACATTTTGTTGAATGTCTAATGGCAACCAACACTTCATGATCTCCTTGCTCTATTAAAGCATGCTTTATTTAACAACATACATTGCCTTTCAGATTCTATTCAAGCAATGAATTTGAAGGCTATCCAGGAAGAAGAAATATTTACAAGTAAGTTATCATCAAACATTTTGCACTGTTGTTCGTTTGGTTTCTGAGACGTGCCCAGTAAGTTATTTCCGAACACCGTGTTGCACCGCATGCAGCAAGAATGTGTTACAGTTTCCATGCCTGCTTCTGCATTCTAGATCGAGGCTGAAGTTTTGCTTTTGTTTTTAAATTCTGCTGTTTTACAGAATTAACAGAAGAAATCCCGGGACAAGGCAGTGCATTACTTGTTATTTAAGAAAAGAAAGATGCCAGTACTATGCAGCAAGTTTCAGTTACAATGCCAACTATTATGCTTTGCTCTGTTACGGTATGTGAAATGTGTGGAACTATTAAATCCTCATTGTTCTCTCAGGAACCCGTCAGGTATTTCTGCTTCAAAGCACCTTATTAATAAATGGAACATTACAGGTGCCGTTTTATGTACACTTAACTGAGTAAAAGCCCCGGGGAGCAAAAGGACACTTATTTCAGTGTGAATTTGCACAGGGCTTCATAATTAATTACATTTATAGCAATCCTTTCCTCAAGTTGGCACACATGGGTCTCAAACAAGCCCCATTTTTTATCCTCACAACGGTCCTGTGAGGTTCACCAGGTTGAAAGAATGTAATTGGCCCAAGATCATCCAGTGAGCTTTATGGCCAAGTGGGAATTTGAACCTGCCCCCCCCCCCAGTGCATCTTACCCACTTCTACTCATAAGTAAGTCCTGGTTGAATTCTTACCCACTTCTACTCATAAGTAAGTCCTGGTTGAATTCAATAGGGCTTACTCTCAGGGGAGTTAGGACTGCAGCCTTTGTCTAACACAACCATGCCGGCTCTCCATGCTTTGAAGAGATCTAGAAGGCTTTGAACTAGGATATTCCAGGCTTTGAATTAGGATATTCTGTAGCCCCCCTCCCCCTTTAGATCTCAGTTCTGCCATGAAATCCTTAGGTAGCCATTCTTTGTCTCAACCCCCCCCCCCAACACTGCAACTTTGTTGGCACAAGGGACTTCTGAGTATGCAACAGAACCGCCCCATCCTCTTCTATCCCCTTAAGCAGCCCCTCACAGGGCATGACCTCCAGATTGGCTCCAGTGTGTTGGAGAACCTTCCAGAACAGATTCTGGGGGACGCAGGGAGGACAGAGAGAAGTCCCATTGCTGCACCAGTGAACCCTTGTTGATGCAGCAATGGATACAAGTCTGAGAACTGGTTGAACGCCCCACTTCCCCTGAAATTCTACAGACCCTGAAATATGAGGCAACATGTCGTTGTCTTTGTGAGAAATTAGCCTGCTCTCACCTTTCAGAGTTTCAGTATGCTTCTTGTGTGGAATCTTGCCTCCACACTTTGCATTGGGAAGGAGTGGGGCAGCTTATAATGACAGCAGTATATAATTTTTTTCATAAATGGTTCTGTTAACAGCCTAAATTACTAGTAGGAAAATTTAAGATCATGTATATAAGGGCTGGAATAATCTAATTCATTACATGGTTGTTTAAACTGCAAAAGCTTGGAGGTTTGACCTGCAAGGCACTGTAATTCACTTTCGATCCTCCTAAGCAGAGAAGGCAGAAACAAATTGCCAACACGAAAGAAGGCTGTAGCCTTTCATTATTTTAATGAGTAGCTCTTGGCATGTCAAGTTTTAAGTTGTTACGAGCCATGTGACGTTTTATTTGATGGAGTCGGCGAAGGGGGAAAGATCCATCCAGAGGGTTTCTGTGTTAATTTCTGAAATAAGCTCAGCCAGGTTTGCTCTCATGGAACCGTATCTAAAAGCATCACAAAGTCTAAGCAAAATGACTCATTTGGTGTTTAATGAAGCGTAGAGATCAAGCGTTAAGTAGTAGATCTGGATGTGTACAGGTTGATGGATGAGTACGGAACACATGAAACTGCTCACAAGGTAGAAATATCGCCATGACGGTAGCCATGGGATCATGCTAAGGAGAAAATAGCTACTCCGATCAGTGTTTTATGATCTGGACCGGATGCTCAAGCGTGCAAATAATAGAGTTCCCCCCCTGCTAAGCAAAGAACCAAACATAACAAAATGATAATGCCTTTCAATCATCCTCGCCAAGGATGTTATCACACAGGAAATGTGCTCACCTTGAGAAATGAGTTCCGACAACTTCTCCGGATCCTTTTGTGCATGGGTAATTTGGGGCACAGCTTATGTAACTATTAGCTGGGCATCACTTCATCTGCGAGAGCAAAGAGATTCTCTGAAATATGTAAAGGTTAACATTTCTTTGTTTCCTCAGCAGCGCTTCTGGCACAGGTGCCGTTTATGCCGACATGACACCGAACATAGTTATTCGGCCACTCTTGCTATGCGCTGCGCTATCGTTTAATACCAATAGCAAACATGGCATTTGCAGGGTTAAAGTCAGAGGCAAGCTCCTGGTTTGGAGGTGCTTATGATTTAAAGGTGCAGTGAAATAAGAGGGGGAGAAGCAGGGGGGGAAAGGATTGTCAACAAATATGTTTGCAGGACGCCTTTGTGTGAGAAAGCAAGTGAGGAAATGGTCATCTCAGGGCCCAGTAAAGTTGTATGATGTCAGCACTGTGAATTTGGCATTGGAGCCACAGGGAGATGAGGAAGGAGAATGTAAGTCTTCCCCTCCCCACATAGTCCTGTCAAAAAATCTTCCCTTCCCAAAGCTGCAATAATAGATAGATAGATGATAGATAGATAGATAGGTAGATAGGTAGATAGGTAGGTAGATAGATAGATAGATATAGATAGATAGATAGATAGATAGATAGATAGATAGATAGATAGATAGATAGATAGATAGATATAGATGATAGATAGATAGATGATAGATAGATGATAGATGATAGATAGATAGATAGATAGATAGATAGATAGATAGATAGATAGATAGATAGATGATAGCTAGCTAGCTAGATAGTTTTGGTTCACATTTTGGCTCTGGAGCCTCACTAGAGAATAGCCGTACTGATACTCTTATACCAGTATCTTAACTACTACATCTTCTTTTACTGTTTGTCTTTTCTCATCCCTGGAAAAGCCTAGAAATCGTAAGTGCTAGGAACCATTTCACTCATGGGAACTAATAAATAAAATAAATAAACCTTTATTGTCACTACACCACCTGTGTGCAGTGGAATTAAACGAGCCCCCCCCTCAATACATTCAGTCTTGTTCGCACTCTTGTGTGCTTGTTGGAGGTCAATTGCACCACTATTTTTTTCCATGCAGCAGGACATCTTCCTCCTTCTGTTGCTTCCTACAGCTCCCTACACACACACACACACACACACAGAGAGAGAGAGAGAGAGAGAGAGAGAGAGAGAGAGAGAGTTAGTTATGTAGGGTTGCGGTGGTGAGGGACCTTTCAGAAAGGATTTCAAAAGGGTTCCTGAAGATTGCAGGGCCCTCCAGAATGCATGCAATATAACTGGATGTGGCAGGAAGGAAGAATTGATTAACGTTGCTGTGTTTGTGTGTGTGTGTGTGTGTGTGTGTGTGTGTGTGTGTTTAAAAATAAGTGCTTTCTGCTGGTGTACTTATAAATGCTGCCACCCTAACACCCAAAGCTCCTTAGCATCTTACATGTTAATACTGTCTGTGATGAATAAAAGAGGAACATGTTACATACAAGTATCTAGCCAACAAAATTTGTGCTATTTTCTGAAGTCATGATTCTGGGGTGGGGTTGTTGTTGTTGTTGTTTTGCAGTTCTTGTTTCCTTCAATGTCAATTCTCTTTTTCTTCCAATCCCCCGCAGGCCCAGGCATTCCCATTTCTACTATTTACGAGAGCAGATATGACAGAGGTATCTTTCACGATGCATGTTTGTGTGCCCGGTTGATTGGTTTAAATTCAGATCCACAGTGTACAATTAAAGCACATTTAAAGCAAAGAATCATGGGAACTGTAGTTTACACATCACAGAGCAACAAGTCCCAGCACCCTTTAACAAGCAACAGTTCCCAGGATTCTTTAGGGGCAGCCTAAACGTGCTTTTAAACGTACTGAAATCCTATGCACTCTTACCCATGACTAAGTCCCTATTACAGTCAAATATAGGAACAGGCTATAAAGCTAAAGATGAAGACATTTTGAGTTTTATCTCAAAGCATTTTTAGTACACCCACAGGCAGAAAATCTGATTAGATACAGTACATGTGCTCTGCCTGTTTTATATACCTGGCTTTTGTTAAGAATTTAAAAAAAAGAAAGCATTCATTAAGCAAACGTTCTACCCACCTGCCTACTTTTCCCTTCGCTGTTTATTCTGCTTCAAGTGTTACAGTAATTAACATTATAACATGCAATCAGCATGTGTAGAAACATTTCTTCTGGGCAGAATGAGCACGTGCGTTGATGGGGGGTGGCATCGCATGTGCAGACCTTAGCCTATTCATTTCAATAGCATGCATCAGTTCAGTTCAGATATTGAAACAGACATGTGCAGGGTGGGGTGGAACCTGACTCCATGATACCATCTCCCTGCATATTTGCTCTACCCAGAACTGATGGTCCATGGTGGAGAAAGGCCAGGGTTTCATACACAGCCAGATATATAAGCAGCCAGTCGTGGATTTTCCAGATACTTTCTACCGGCCATCCACTTTATTATGATCATTCGTCTTGTGCATTTTGTCTTTCTCCCTCTCTGAGGATCAGGCTGTACATTAGCCCCTGTTAGAAGACAGGCGGGTGGCCTATTTGTTTGCCTTTAAACTTATGCTAGAAAAATGCAACCTATGCCGTTAATAAAGATAGAGCAACTCGTACAGCATGTTGGCGACAAATATTCATCGTTCTCCCGGACACTGAGGTTCAGCGCCAAGGGCCTTCTGGCGGTTCCCTCACTGCGAGAAGCCAAGTTACAGGGAACCACGCAGAGGGCCTTCTCAGTAGTGGCACCCACCCTGTGGAACGCCCTCCCACCAGATGTCAAAGAGAAAAATAACTACCAAACTTTTAGAAGACATCTGAAGGCAGCCCTGTTTAGGGAAGCTTTTAATGTTTAATAGGTTATTATATTTTAGTGTTTTATTGAAAGCCGCCCAGAGTGGCTGGGGAAACCCAGCCAGATGGGTGGGGTATTATTATTATTATTATTATTATTATTATTCAAAAATAATTTTACACCATTTATCAAATATGTGAGAAAGAGACAATTACTTACAAAGTGCCATGAAAACTTACAAACTACCTAAAATAAAGAGAACTTGCAATATCAGATCTATCCCCATTTCCCCCTAGCAGTCCATGCAGTTGGGAGGCAGATTTGTTGGCGGATAGCACACTCCCTGAGCACAGTTTTCTGGCACGAGACAACTGAAGAATTCCAGAATACTGTGCTCGGGGAGTGTGCTATCCACCAACCCCAAAAAATCAGCCTCACCAGGGGCGAAACAGCAGCCTCCCAACTGCATGGATTGCTAGGGCAAAATGGGGATTGAACTCTGACTCCCTGTCTTCTTTATTACTTCATACGCTGCTTCATCAGCTCCTCACAGCTACCAGGAACAATGCTGAACTTACCCTTTTCTTGAATCTTCTTGAACTTGTTTAAAAAACAAGGAAAAAAACGAAAAACTGAGTCAAGAATTTGTAAGAACCTAGTAAAATCTGATGTTGCAAGTTCACTTTATTTTAGGTCGTTTGTAAGTTTTCATGGCACTTTGTAAGTAATTGTCTCTTTCTCACATATTTGATAAATGGTGTAAAATTATTTTTGAACAACTGTATGAATATTGGTCGCCAACATGCTGTACTAGTTGCACTGCCGTTATACTTATAGCAGTCTAAGCATTGCCCTGCCTGCAAAACTAAGTCAGTTGTTAAGTTTTCTGGTATTTCCTGTTCATGATTACGCTGGAAATCTTCTGGTATTTCATGACCAGGAAGTGGTTTCCCTAAGTGCTGGGTAAAGGGGGAGAGTTTTGCTGTCAATGTAATCTAGCTGTAACTGTTTTGCTGTGTATGTGCTAGCACTGTCTGGTGTTATCTTAGGTCATACATCTGTAGCATAGGGCAATCTAAAATTATATACAGATCCTTTGTGGTGGGGAGTGAGCTCCTTTAACTAATCAATTGATGGAACACATTAAACACTTTAGGTACTTAATCCTATTACTTCATTACTTAATAGATTTTTGAACGTTTTCTTTCAAAGACTACCACTCCTGTCTCCCAGCTCTTCTACATAATGCATCTCTTTCCTGCTCAATCCCCAGAGAGCAAGCATAGGCAAGCTCGGCCCTCCAGATGTCTTGGGACTATAACTCCCATCATCCCTGACCACTGGTCCTGTTAGCTAGGGATCATGGGAGTTGTAGTCCCAAAACATCTGGCGGGCCGAGTTTGCCTATGCCTGCCAGAGAGAGTTTAAAAACACTCTGTCAAGCACTACAACCCAGCAATAAATCCCAACTCAGCAATAGATATTATTATAGATCCAAGGAGGTTTAATCCCAGCAAATATTTTCCTATTTTCTCCTCCATAGAAGAGAACACTCTGTTACTGTTAAAACCACACAGCTGCTTTCTATTTGCATACAGGATATTCACTTATACACATGACCTTAGCAGATTTGACATGTATTCTCTATTTGTGTCCTGCCACGTAATAATTAGATTGCAACCATACTCAGTTTTTCTTGTACCGTTTCTAAAATTATTTTAGCTTTCTTTTTTGAGGATATGCCTGTGAAATGTCATAGGACAAACTTGGAAGGAGATTCAGAAATCAGTAATGATGATAACAAGTACGCTAACCAATGGCAAATGTATTGTGAATCTAAATTTTCATCTATGTAGAAGTTCGAATTTTGGAAGACAACAGGGATTTGGAATCTTCTCTGCAAAAGATCAGCATGCCTACCACAGATTTTGACAAACTTGAAGTGGATGGTATAAGTAAGTACAATCGACTATGTAACCTCCCCTTTTGATTTTACATTATGAGTGACAAGGGAAAAGTAGTGGCTATGCTAGGTATTTAAAGGCTTCATGTTTGGTAACTGTGGTCCTTTCCAGACTGCCAAGGATTCAAGGATTCAATCACCTACCAGAAATGCAAGTTGGTGCAATTGAAGTGGATTAAAGCATTCTGTCACCCTGCCTCAACAAACCCACTTTTTTTTCTTTTTTAAAGAGACTGCTTGCAATTGGGAAAGTGATGGGAAATTGCACTGAAAAGTGTGGGATGCAGGAAGATGTATAACCACAGCACAAGCAAAACAGGATGAATGCTCTTTGTCATATACTTTCCCTGCAAAGAAACCAGAACGAATGTTTAGTAATAAGTAGACATAGGGCTCGTACACACATCTGCTTGTGCCCTGACTAGAAAGCATGGGTTCAACCATTTTCTCCGTTACCCTGCTCCTTCCTAAGAGAAAACCCGCTCTTTAGAGATAGATTGGAACAGATGGCAATCCGGGGAAAGCCCAAATTGCTGTTTGTTCCGACTGAGCCTTAAAGAGTGCTTTTCTCTAAGGGAAAGAGGAAGTATGGAGAAGCCCATAGTCTAACCCCCACATAAGCTTTGTGCAGGCAAATCAGGGTGAATGACTCGTAAGCAGGTCATCTGAAGAAGCCCCATAACTGCACAGAAACATGGCAGTTTGTCACCTTGAGCAGTGCAGGACGCCTAACGTGACTGGAATGCTCTGCACAGACCTGATTGCCCCACACCCAGAATGATATTGTAGGAAATGGCAGCCAAAACTATCAAGAGGCTAGAGCAGCTCCCTTGTGAAGAAAGGCCTTTTTAATTTAGAAAAACAGCAACTGGCAGGAAGGGGGCATGGTGGAGGCATGCAGAATGATGCCTATTGTGGAGAAAGTGGACACAGAGACATCTTTTCTCCCTCATAGTACTAGAACTTGAGGGAAAGGTCACTCTATGAAACTTAATGCACCAGTGATTCAGGAGAGACCCCACCCCACCCCAAACTACTTCTTCACAAAATGCACAATTCGTTCGCAGAATTCGCTATCACGAGATGCGGCGATGGATCTTCAGCATTCTCTATTTGTCATTCTCTCTCTCTCTCTCTCTCCTTCTCTCTCTTCAGCCTTGTGGTACAAAATGGTGCTCCCTCCACGGTTTGATAAATCCAAGAAGTATCCCCTTCTCATACAGGTGTATGTAAAATTGTGTTTATTTATCCTTGCTTGCTGCCTTTCTTTAACTTAACTTTGCTTCATTTGGGTGTCCCTTAACAATTATTGTTAAATACGCTCACGGCTAGTGACCATAGAGTAGTAAAATAGCTTTAAGTTATAAGGCCTGGTGAACCTCAGGTCTGAGGGCCACTTTTATCTGGTCCTTGGGACTCTTCTTCCCAAGCTACATCTCTGCCCAAGGCTAAGCCCCTCACCAGCCTTGCTCTGCATCTACCTCAAGTGCATTTGCCTGGTTGGAAGGTGTTTCAAAATGTGTAATAATGCCACTTGTCTGCCTGGTTAGAGAATGGGAGGGTGGGAACCTCAGTTGTTTTCCATCCCTTGACTATAGCCTCCTGTATACTCACTTTCCTCCCCTGCCCCCACCCTCTGCCATACATCCCCCAGCAGGTTCCCAAAAGGGAATGTGACCATTGCCCAAGCTGACTGGGGCTGATGGGAGCTGGAGTAATCTGGAGCATCCTGGGTCCCCCAGCCCTGTGTTAGGCAATGCAACGTGACAAAACACCTTACCTAGTAACAATATATTATGTACCACAACATAGAAACAAAAAGGAAGGCAACGTGCCCAAGCCCTCTCAGGTGTGAACCTGAGCAATACCATTTTGCCTAGGCTCTGTATTTGTTAAAGATTTGGTTTTTTGGCCACCATTTCCTTTTCCTTTAATAAAAAGGGAGTGTTTTGTAGTCCATAGCGCTGAATTTGAGATTCTGTGAATTTTCGCTGCAGGTACGGCGGACCTTGCAGTCAAAGCGTGAAACACACGTTTGGGGTTAGCTGGACGACCTACCTTGCGAGCAAAGAAGAGATTGTGGTGGCTTTCGTGGATGGAAGGGGGACGGCCTTCCAAGGAGATGAAATGTTATACGCGGTCTATCGGAAACTTGGGGTTTATGAAGTTGACGATCAGATCTCAGCTGTAAGGTAAGGGAAAGAGTGCAGTTCTGCAAACCTACATTGAAAGCCTCTTGGAGAAAGGACTGTGTGGCCGATATAGCTCTCGTTGCTAGACAAATGTGGCATCTTAAATATTAGCTGCATACAGTCCAGCATCCTATTCTCGCAATGGCCAACTAGATACCCATGGGAAGCCCACAAACAGAATCTGAGAGCAACAACAGTCTCCCCACCTGCGCTTCCTAGCAACTGATGTTCACTGGTGTACAACAGTGGAGGTAGCACATAGGAGCTGAAAGTAGTAGATTCTCCAGAAATAAGTAGCTCTATTCTCCATGAATTTGTTTGAATTTTCTTAATTATCATGCTAGTTCAAATTTCATTTTCTTTTGGGAACATTACAAAGAACACCTCGAATTTAGATATACTAACAGACATCTGGGTGTGCTTTTCATGTATGAGATACTTGGTCACTTGTTTGGGGATGAAGCAATGTTTTTGCTTGTTCCCATACTCATCATCCGTTATCACCAAGCAAATAATCCCATTTTGGCAAAATGAGCATTACTTGATGAAAGAGGTTGCTTCTGGACCCAGCTTTCCCACTGAAGTGGGGCCTAGAAGCAGCTGTGACTGTTACAACAGCAGTGGTCATTCCTGGATTGGGAGAGCTTGACCAAAGTAGTTCAGGCATTGGTGACTTCAGTAATGATTTCCTGCAATGCACTGTATGTGGGGCTTCCATCGCACTTGACCCAGAAACAGCAGTTAGGGCAGAATGCTGCAGCACTGATGCTGACAGGAGTGAGACCCTATTAGCATATAACAGCTCAACTCAGAGATTTTCACTGCTTGCCGATTTGTTACTGGGCCAAGTTCAAGGTTTTACCATTGGTATATAAAGCCCTTAATGGTTTGGGACAAGTTTACTTGCAATATTACCTTACGCCATATGCGTCCATTCGACCACTTCAGTCTGCGGAAGTGGCCCAGCTACAGGGTGCCACGTATTACTAATTCTGCAGTTGAAACAAATCAGTCTTTTACACCTTGGAATTCCCTGCCTGTTGATACCTTTATTCTGCTCTTCTCGTTGCCCACCTAGACATGTAGTAATTGCATCTGTTTTAGCTTATTGTTGATCTTAATTGTTTATCAGTTTTTGAATGTTTTTAACTGTCTTTTATAAACCATTGAATATTATGTCTTATCTTATTGGTGAATCTCTTTGAATTTTTTATTTTATTTTATTTTTTACAATCCGTTGGTAAAAGGGCTTTGGAAATGATGTAGGGTTGCTTCTGAATGGCAGAGTTGGAAATAGATAGAACCCATGAACTCTGGTCTCCAACACCTGTGATCTATGTACCTGATAACATGCCTATCTAAACAGGTTTTATCTCTCCTGTCCTCTTTCTGCTTATTGACTCTTCCATTTCCTCTTCATATCAAGAATCATGTTGCTTTAACCTCACTTTAAAAAAACAACCAGCAACAAAGATTGACACAGATGAGACGTTACACTATTTTGAGCCCCACAGCCATCACTTTCTATTGCACAGCGCAAGAACGCCTTGTTTTATAGTAACCATAAAACTTATGAATTGGCTTTAATTGCTCTAAAGTGTTCAGAGACAACAGAGGATGTGGTGGGTGCCCATCCAAGTAGGTTAAAGTAAAACCAAGCTGCTCTTCTGTTTGTTTGTTTGTTTGTTTGTTTGTTCGTTCATTTAATTTGGGAAATTTATAGACAACTAAACATTAACAGATATCATAATGGTGTGCAACATTAAAAATGCAAGAGATACTGGAAACATTTCCCCCCCCCCAAAAAAAAAGAAAAATCAGAGTGCCCACATCTGTTGGCAGTCTGCTGTAAAAAGTTTGTGTGTGTGTGTGGAAATGGCTCAACTTGCTGCAAAATAAAAATAAAAGGAAAATTATATCTGAAAACATGCATTCAATTGACTTCGGTTGTTGGGGCCCAGTGTGCATTCAGTGTGGTTTGCACTAGAATGGTTGCAGCTTTTCAGCTCCAAATCTGCAACTGCAAAGGCCAAGAACTCCAACGGAGAACGCTGTGGCGAGAGAAATTTGCTGAGTCTCTCCAACCGGTCTGAATTGCCCACTTGCTGTGTGGGGGCCCCTCCTCAGGGAGGTTGATGAGGTTCCTGGTGCGAAAATGGCCTTGTTTGTTTTTCTTTGAAATTTGGCTTCCTCAAGTTTTTATTTTGTAATAATAATTTAAAACAGCAAGCCGCAGACTGGGGAATAGTAAACAGCTGCTTGACCTACTTGTTTCTGCCATTCTGTCATTTCCTCCTCTTCTTTAACCACCTGCCCTCTCAAAGCATGTATTTAGCTATTATTATTATTTTTACATTTTTCATGGAACTGGCTGCTGCTTTAAGAGAACGTGTCAAATCAGCCCCCTTTGGCACCTCCCTACAACTCCATTTAGATATAGCGCACTGCACTGTGCTCTTAGGAATGCAATCTGCGGTCATTTTGGTTCTCTTCAAGCTCAAAAACGACAGACGAAATCACTAGGACTCAAAAGCAATAGGAAAGGCTATAGATGAAAATAACAATACAATATGTTGCAATGTTGATACATAAAAGCACATGTGGAATAAGCTCGTATTGTAGCCAAAAGTAGACTGACAATACAGAATTACCCTCTGAGGTGGAATCTGGAATAAATGTATTGTAGAGTTGTTGACTAGTTCTCTGGATTGTATATTGTTTTTGTTGTTTTGTCAAAACCAACTTAGAAATGGAGCATTCTTGTGGTTGGCAGCTGAAGAAAAACCCCTTAGATTATCTGATGTAAATAGTCCCAAGTAATTTAGCCAGCAAAACTCTCCAAAATATAGTTTATTGGTTCTCCAGAAGCTGTAATGCAAAATACTGTAATTTGCTTTAAGTTGCCAGCTATCTTCCCTGTCTGAGCTCTCTTTAAGTACCTTTCAGCCTGCATTTATGTTCCTCATTCTTTTAGCTAGAGAGCTCCAAATATGCACAATGCTTCCCCCTTGTTCATTACTAAGTTACTCAGAGGAAAAGTTTTAGTCTTGTGCAAATCAGCCGTGTAGGTTTGCTGGGAGAGACTAAGTTGCCTAAAGCCATTCATAATAGATAGGTCAGGTTTTCAACTTGGGATTCTCCTCACGGCAGCCACTGTCCTGCACTGGAAAATACCAGAGCAAAAGGGTTTTGAGCATGTCCTAAGATGGGTGGATATTTGGGGTCTGTTTATTACAAGGGTGGGCAACATGGAGTCTTTCTCTTAATTTCATGTGTGTGGCTAGGAGGTGAAAAAAGAGGTGACAAAAAGAGGGGAAAGTGAGTGGCAAAAAGAGAGGACTTTTCATGAAGACTTTAAAAAACAATAATAATTACAAACTCATGTTGAAATATCAAACTATTTAGAGCTTTATAGGTCATAAGTACTGATTTGAATTATTAATGGTATAAGGCTTGATTGATTTTGAATCAGGCTTTGGATATGCTTTGATAATTTGCATGTTAAATTACCATCATCACAGTACCTTGCTCTTCATGAAAACTGAGTCAGTATTTGAAATTGAGTACACCAAGTATTTTATAGCATAATATCCTTGCAAGCGTATGCGACAAGAGGAGTTCTAAGATAACCAGGGTTCCTTATCACATCCAAACATAGCGAGCCACAGTTTGATCCTGGCTTGTATGAATTCAAGATGCAACGGGGGAATTCTGGTTAGTTTAAATTAAAACCAGAAGCTTTCAATCTCCTCCTCCTGTAGCACAGCAGAAGAAGACAGGGAAGAGTACTGAGCCTCCCCATAATGCCCTAAACTATTGTTTCATGTTACTATCCAAAGTGTCCCATTGTGTGCAGCACTGCTAGTTTCAAACCCCAGTTTAAATCATAAAAGGTAAAGGTAAAGGTACCCCTGCCCATACGGGCCAGTCTTGACAGACTCTGGGGTTGTGCGCCCATCTCACTCAAGAGGCCGGGGGCCAGCGCTGTCCGCAGACACTTCCGGGTCGCGTGGCCAGCGTGACAAGCTGCATCTGGCGAGCCAGCACAGCACACAGAAACGCCGTTTACCTTCCCGCCAGTAAGCGGTCCCTATTTATCTACTTGCACCCGGGGGTGCTTTCGAACTGCTAGGTTGGCAGGCGCTGGGACCAAGCAACGGGAGCGCACCCCGCCGCGGGGATTCGAACTGCCAACCTTTTGATCGGCAAGCCCTAGGCGCTGAGGCTTTTACCCACAGCGCCACCCGCGTCCCTTTAAATCATAGAGCGTATGAACTCATTAGAGCAATAACCATAATCTTCTGCTGCGTAACAACAACAACAAATCTTAATGGAACCCCAAAATATTCAAAAACAAAAGCTATTTTATCACCTTTGTTTTTTGAACTAACGAAACATTTTCCCCCCTTTTGAACAGAAAGTTTATAGACATGGGATTTATTGACGAAAAAAGGATAGCCATATGGGGATGGGTATGTATACTTTTTTTAAAAAAGCTTGTTTAACCTTGTTCTGCTTGCAGCTCCTTTTGTAAACGCCTTGGTGAAGTGCATGGAGGTGTCTTATGCATGGGCCCCCCTTTGTTCATCCTTCTCCATGGGACATCTAGACTGTTGCATGTCTGTAACATATTCTAGATTTAATCACCACCCCAGCTGCGTCAACACTCTCCTTTTTCTGGGCTTGATTCTTTATGAGATTCTGAGATAATGCTGAACCATAGTTTAGCATTATGAGAATGAGCATAGATGAGGTTTGTGATCACATGCTTTCCCTTCCTCCTCTTGTGTGGCTGACAGCTCTGAAAGCTTTTTGCTTCCATTTCATGATGGCCAAATCTGGGCAAACTGTAATCTAATTGTGCTTCGTGCATCTAAACATATCATCTCTTAAGCACAAGGACTTCTGCTGCTTGAGCAATGGAACTTCATCTCTCTCTCCCTCTCCCCCTGCACATCTGTTCCAGAGGGTTGGAGGGGAAACCCAAAACAGAATTGGTCTGAGTGGTTTTCTGTTTCCCCTGCCACTTTCCCTGGGAAAACCTACTCTTTAGCTCTGAATCGGAACAAACTTCAATCTGCAGAGAACCCGATTGTCACTTGCTCTGATTCAGCAGTGAAGATTGGGTTTTCCAGGGGGAAAGTGATGGAACAAGAACAAGCTGGATGAGCCTATTATGATTTAATGGCAGTTTGTTAAACCTAGGATGAACAGTTCCCCATCAGGATCCAGTACAGAGCCTGAAGACTTAAGTCAGTTGCTAGCCAACAATTAATTTCGAGTGTCCGATGATTTCCATTTTGGTAACGTTACTTAGTCTCTGATTATCTCTCAAGAAGTGTTACGGTCTCACTCTCTTCAGCTTTGCTCTTTTGCCAGGAAAAATTATCTTAGGTCTGTCACTGCTTGTTTATCTTGTTTTTCTTCCTTGGCCTGGATTCCCATAAGAGCAGCTTGCCCAGAAGCACAATACAGGACAGAGTAAACTTGCTGGTATTAGAGGTCAAACTATTTTATTTTATTGTTTTGATGCCGAGTGCTTATATTAACAAACTTTAATTTATTTCATTTATTGGGCTGATGGCCAACGTTGACATAGCTATAGGCGTCCTCTTCTAGCAGGGTGTGATTGAATGATGCTATGGATAAGGTATTCTGAAGTTGGGCTTAGTATCTGGGAAATAGTGGGTGGGAAATAGTGGGTGGGTGTACATGCTGAGTTTGCTAAGCTCACCCAGTCCCGAGAACATCCAAGGGCAAGTAGCATAAATAACATAGGAAGAACACCCTTCTTTTCCCCAGGAAAATGCACAAAATAATTTGTCTTTTATGACTGACATTGCCATTTGTGTGTCAAAGCTTCTCTCTCTGCCCATCTCCCCTCCATTTTGCTCTCTCTCGTTTCTTGGCATTTTAGTTTTTCGGCCCATGGGAAGGATTTGTCTTTTAAGTTTTAATTCTTTAGAGCACGTTGATTATCTTTGGGCACTTCAAAAACCGTGGAACATCCTCTAAGGCAAGTTCTTCTCAGGGGATATTCCCATCAGCAGGTGGCGCAGTGGTCTAAACCACTGAGCCTCTTGGGCTTGCTAATCACAAGGTCAGAGGTTTGAACGGGGTGGGCCATGACGGGGTGGGCTCCCGTTGCTCTGTCCCAGTTCCTGCCAACATAGCAGTTCGAAAGCACACCAGTGCAAGTAGATAAATAGATACCTCTGCGGCGGGAAGGTAAATGGTGTTTCCGTGCGTTCTGGCTCACGGTGTTCCGTTGCGCCAGAAGCGGTTTAGTCATACTGGCCGCATGACCTGGAAAGCTGTCTGTGAACAAATGCCGGCTCCCTCAGCCTGAAAGTGAGATGAACGCTGCAACCCCATAGTCACCTTTGACTGGACTTAACCGTCCAGGGGTCCATTACCTTTTTTACCTTTTACCCATCAGCTGAAGGATGGAAGGGAGAAGTGATGCTGACAGATTTCCCCCTTCAGTCCCTTGTGCCCTGCAAAAATAAAAATAATAATTCTTACTGGCCTCCATGGTTCCCTTCTTGCTCTTTCCAGATGCTAAGCCCTCTGTCTCTCTGAGTCAATTGGTCCAGCTGTGAACTCATCCTCACCCACTAGTCCCCAGTTATTTGGATATTTTGCCAGGAGGCAGCAGAGGTGGGTGACAGCCACCATTCCACCCTAGATGGCAGGCAGCTAAGCATTTCAGCATTGTGGGTGTGATCAAGAAGCAAGGGATTATGTAACTGTGTGGGATGATCAGAGCCTGCTTCATGATGTGTCTTGAATACGGGGCACGAAGGCACTGCACTCTGATGCTCCAAGTCTTTATTTAGCTGCTACACACCAGAGTTCTGTCAGTAGCTCTGTGATTTATTTCCTTTGAGAAGGCACTTGATGAAGATCCATGCGGAACGTTGTCAGTGGGCTGCTCCCTTGTAGCTCCCGCTTGTCCATCCCATTCCTGTGCATGTTTACTCAGGAGTAAGTTCAGTAGGGCTTGCTTCCAAGTGACTGTGCATAGGATTGCAACGTTGCGGGATAATCCCGTGAATGTTTACTTAGAAGTTAGCAAGTCCCACTGTGCACCATGAATCTTATTCCAAAAAATGTTTATTTTTAGATACTACATTTTATGGCCACCCAGTTTTACCGCTTCACAGTGACTTGAAGAGGTATCTAGCCAGTCTATGTGAGTGTAGTTGAAGTCACCCATTACTACAACATTTCCTCTTTTGGGTGCTTCCTTGATTCCATTCTGCATCTCAAGGTCTTCCTGAGCATCTTGATCAGGGGGACAATTTCACATCCCCAGTACTAAATTACTCTTGAGGCCCGGCAGGGCTTTTTTCCAGCCAGAACCCACCAGAATTGAGTTCCAGCACCTCTCAGGTGGGCACCATTGCCATTGTAAGAGAACAAGGGAGTTCTCTTATGGTGAGTTACAGCACCACTTTGCCTAGAGAAATAGCACTGGGGCCCAGTATCACCACCCAGTCTATCCAGAGGGTTGGGGACCATTCCAGAAATGTGAAATGCGACACATCAGGAACAAGGAGGGAAGGGAGATTAACATCAGCATTGACTGCCCCGGTAGACCGTGCCACCTGAAGTGGTCGCGTCACTAGGCTTCCTAGGATGGCCATGCCTGAATAAAGATCTAATAATAAATAATAATAATAATTTTATTATTTATAGCCCACCCATCTGGCTGGGTTGCCCCAGCCACTCTGGGCCGCTTCCAGCACATATAAAAGCATGCTAAGACATAAAACATCAAAATCTTCCCGATACAGGGCTGCCTTCAGATGTCTTCTAAAAGTTGTATAGTTATTTATCCACAAGGAGGGTGCCACTACTGAGAAGGCCCTCTGCCTGGTTCCCTGTAGCTTCACTTCTTGCAGTGAGGGAACTGCCGGAAGACCTTCGGAGGTGGATCTCAGTGTCAGGGCTGATTGATAGGGGTGGAGATGCTTCTTCAGGTATACAGGGTCGAGGCTACTTAGGGCTTTAAAGGTTAGCACCAAGACTTTGAATTGTGCTTGGAATTGTATCTACGTTGTGATCTTCTGCCTCTGGAGATCCTGCCACCTGAGAAGGCCACCTCATCTGTCTTCATCATGGGCTTGCCCTGGTACATAGATACAGCAGAAAGTTACTTCATTGAATTACTCTAGTGGTGTCCCATCCAAAGAAAACTAAATGCTCTAGAGCTGCTGTGGGGATGGCACCACTTGAGGAAATGAGGATTGCTTAATGCCACCTGCCTTGCAGACTCTTTTCCTTACTGCTGCTTTCCCTCCCACTGCTCTTGAGATTAGCAGCATAGCAGAACATCTGGTCACAAAGGACTACACCCCTAGGAATCAAACTCTCAAGGAAAGCTACTGCATAAATGGAAAGAAACTGCACAAGCCATTTGCTTGCCCCTGTGCCTGGTAGAGAATTACTCAGACTTATGCTGGAGAATCCTTGGCTTATGTTGCTGCCTCAGCTGCCAAAGCAAATATTCCCTTTGGCTTTCGTGCTTTACCACTTGGATTCTTAGAGAGCTAATACTTCATTTCAAGGTTACTAACTTCCATCCCGTTTCTTCCTAGTCTTACGGTGGCTACGTTGCCTCGCTGGCACTTGGGTCTGGCACTGGAGTGTTTCAGTGCGGGATGGCAGTGGCTCCTGTCTCCAGCTGGGAGTATTATGGTATGGAAACAACTTGTCAACATCACACCTTGAAAGCAGGGCATAGACAATGAATTGTTTTAGCAATGATGTCACTGTGAGGTGCTCTGCCGCTTGCGAAATTTACAAGAACTGCTGGCCTCAGCTAGGAACAAATTCTTCAAAATACACAGACACACACACCAAGCATGGTTCTCTTTGGCTAAGGTTGCCTTTTGGAGTTACACACACACACACACACACACACACACACACACCCCAATCCCCAAGGCCGGTTTGCACAGTTCCTGGTTATTACAGCAGTGAATATTGGGGAAATATGAGAAACTGAGCTGGCAGTTAAGGAATGTGTTTCATTTGGAATAATATTGTTACAAAAATTGTGTGCCATCCTCACTCTCTGCTGAGTGATAGCAAGGGTCCATGTTTTCCTAAGACTGCAACCCAAACCCCACTTACCTGGGGGGGGGGAGTAAGCCCCACCAAATTCAACAAGGCTAGCTTCTTCTGAGTAGACCTGGTTAGGACTGCACTCTAAAAGGATGGAAAGTAGGGGAAAGTGGGTGCAAGGAGGCTCTTTCAAAGTACAGCAGAGACCATCCTTCACTCACAGCCAAGTGTGTAATTCTTGGGACCAGATTCAAAGGTTTTCCCCCTCTCCAGCAGCATCTTAGATGTGCAGTGATCCACACATGGGAACCCATTTCCACGTGCAGCAAGACTGAATTTATAAATAAAAGTTTCTTTGGCATAAAGAAACCAACTTGCAATTTATGCATTTTGTGGAGGATTGTATTAAAATCACTCACCATAGCCTTCCTGAGTTCTGAATACGAGACAAGGTTTAAGAAGCAGTTAGCTTAATAAATTTTCCTTCCCTTTGCAAAAAAATATTTGCACAGACTGGATTACGTGGTTGTCTGTGGCCCTTTTACAAGGAAAAAAAGAGTTTGTTTTGGTGGATGTTCATAGCCTTAAGATACCGCCAGCCTAACATTTATGACTACGGCTCCACCAGTCCCCTCCCACGACTGGCCCCGACTACTGCTGATTCTTTCCCCATATTGCAAGGCAGCTATTCCCAGAAGTAAAGCAAAAACACTCCCTCTGCAAATTCCTTAGGGCCTGGTGCCGCCAAAGTTAAGCACTGTTAAGTTCTTGCGATGCTAAAGGCAGAGATAAGCACATCTGCTCAATTCCTTTCCCAGTGAGATCAGTGGGATTTTCAGAATGTAAACTTCGGCTGAATCATGCTTTTAATGCGGACCAGGACTGCACAACATGCAACTATGCTGGGAGTCATGTATTGTGCTTTGCCCTGCATTTTTGCAGCCCCAGACAGCTCATTATTGAGTCCTCAGAAGGCTACTGTACATGAATTGCGGGCCATTTTATACACTAATAACAAAACTGTGGAAACTTTTAGGAAAAGTTGTACTGTATTTCTAAGATTTGATGGCTCATAACAGTGTTTTTAAGAATAAAATTATATATCATTAGAAAGATACAGTCATACCTCATGTTACATTTGCTTCAGGTTGAGCGTTTTCAGGGTTACTTCCGTGTTTTGCCGCTTGTGCATGCACAGACATGCAAAATGACGTCACATGCATGCGCAGAAGCAGCGAATCGCAACCCGTGCAGACACGGGTTGTGTTCTGCTCATGTTGCAAACCGAATGGATCCGGTTTGCAACTAGAGGTACCACTGTACTTTCATGCAGAATATAATGCAACAAACTATGTTGAGTTATTTTTATTCTGAAGACAGGATATCCATATTTGGTAGTGATGGAATAAGGTGCATAAGAAGAAGAACTGGAGAAGGTTTGCTGCCTAAATGCAATGCAGCTGCCATCTAGTCTGGGACCGATTGACAGCAAAAGGCATGGGGAGAATTTGTGTGATTAATGGTACTCTAAATGGCGAGATGTTATGAAATACCCTTTATCTTTTATTTTTGGGGTGTATGCCTTCTTTTATTTTGCTATAACCCTTGATAGTATAAAGGTGATTCAACAAACTTTGTTGCGTTATATTCTGCACTGGATTGTCTTTCTAATGATATATGACTTTATGGTATTATTCCCAAAAAGACTGATGTTATGAGCCACCAAAGCTCAGAAATACAGATTTTCCAAAAGCTTTCTATGTTTTGGCCACTAATGTATGTCTGGTGATCTGTGTCCAGTGGTTCACGAGTTACAGCAGGGCAAACGTCAGGTTTTAACATTCTTTGTGGGAAATTAAGAGCAATGTCTTTGAACATCTGAATGCACAGCAAGGAGTAAACCTTGCTAACATTTGCTATTCAAGAAGAACATCAGATGAGCTTCCTGGATCTTGCCAATGGTCCATCTAGTCCAGAAACCTGTTCTCACAGTGCCTGACCAGATGCCTATGAGAAGCCTGTAAGCTGGACAACACTCTTCCCTTCTGTGGTTTCCAGCAGCTGGTATTCAGAGGTGCACAGCTTCCATCCATGGAGGAAGACCATCTTCTCTCTCTCATGGCTACTAGCCATTGACATTCTTGCATATGGACTTTCGTGTGTGTATCCTGACACCAACATGCTATTGTATCTTGCAGCATCTATCTACACGGAGCGATTTATGGGCCTCCCAACCAAAGAAGACAATCTGGAGCACTACAGAGTAAGAACAACGAAACATTTCCCTCTCTTTCTTCTTCTCCTTTTACCAGTTAACCTCAACTTCCTTCCCTGCCTTTCTTTCCTTGGTTTAGTGGTATGTGTGCCACTTCTATCATCCACTGCTTCCATGATACTTGAGTGTAGATTCGGAGAAGTTGGTAGTAGAAGAGAAAGGAGGGAAAGGGGTTGAAAATTGTTTGATGAGAATGGTTTGTTACCTTGTGCACTGTTGTCTACTCAAGGTCAGAGTCTGGACCTACTAATTAGAAGTTGGCCTCTTAGCTTCTTAATTTCTCTCCCTCTCTCTCTCTCTCTCTCTCTCTCTCTCTCTCCACTGGACTCAGCTACATTAGTAAAGGAAAAACATTATAAATGTGTTATAACATTGTGACACCAGGTGACACTGTAGAGTTCCATCTTTCGCTAACGTGATTTCCCCTTATTAGGTTGACAACACGTTTTCCTAAAATGTTTTTTTTTAATGTGTCTAGATCCAGCCACTTTCTTTAAACTCCTTTTCTATTCCTTTTTCTTCTTTATCTTCAAATTGTAACACACCAACATGCAATCTCTGGGAAATTAAAATGGCAAGAGAAAAAAGCAGCATGTTGAGCAGCACATCACAATTGCTACATCAGGTAGAAGAATCATTAAGTGAGCCACCAAGACCCTCAGCAATGTTCAAGCTTTCCATGGGGAAGAAAGCTCGGAAGCCACCAGCCTAGTAGGGAATCTATGGGGCCAAGCCGTTCTTACTGCTGATGGTCGCCACCATCATAAAAGGGTTTTATGTTTGGCAACCACTGAGTTGTTCATTTCTGTCTCTCCCCGCCCTCCACTTTGCAGAATTCGACAGTGATGGCAAAAGCAGAGAACTTCCGTGATGTGGAGTACCTTCTCATCCATGGAACAGCAGATGGTGAGGTTTATGAAAAGCTAGTACAGATACCGAGAAATCACTTTGGTTAGGAAATGCTAAGCTTTCTTCTGTGCCCACGATTAGGGCCAGTACTCACAAGACATTTTATGTCTTTCTTTCCAGCACATGAAACAAAGCTGACTCATTGTTGATCATGATTCTATGTCTGCTGTAGAGTTTAATAACTCATGGCATGTCTAATGCAGCACAATTGTGTGCTTTCTGGTATTTTACCAGGTGTGTTTGGGGTTTTTTTTTTAACCAGTCGTTTTCATTTTGCCCCCCCCCCTTCTCGTTTCAGATAATGTACATTTTCAGAACTCAGCACAGATCTCCAAAGCCTTAGTCAATGCACAAGTGGATTTCCAGGCAATGGTAGATATTATCAAACAATTTAATTATAATGTTGCACTGTTTGATTCCAAGATTAGGTTTATCAGAGACTGGATGTAGTTCAGCAGGAGAGCACATGCTTTGCAGGAACTTCCAAGCTGAGTTTCCAGTTAAAGGATCTCGGGCATTTTTTTAAAAAAAATGTATTGAAAACATTAAATAGGCAGAACTCTGAAATCCCTCTAATTGTTTTTCACATTAAAATGTCGTTAAAAAACCACAAAACAACCAGAGAGAGAGAGAGAGAATAAACTGCTTCTCCTGAAGCACCACAAAATACCTGAAAGTCACCTTTCCCTGATCTCTGATAGATATGAATGGTTCTACCCACTCTGTACATGCTCAGAGGTGCACTATTCAATATTACTTTTGTGCTCCAAGAATAAAGATGTGTGACTGAAAACAGGTTATATAGCTAATGCTTAGTTAGCTGTAAAAGCTGGGAGACAGTTGGATCCCTGATGGATCTTTGGAACTGCAGCCCTGACCATTTCCTTACATGCAAGTTTAAGCAGATGGGAAGAGGAAAATCACAGTTATTTATTGTGTCCCCTGGGGAGGAGGGCTAGGTTTACTTCTTTGGTTCCTGAAACAGCAGTCCTTCCCTGTGCCTCATCACAGGTTGAGACTGCCTTTGAAACTCTTTTCAAAAGTGTGATTTGCCGTGTAGCATTTGGGGGCAGCAGGGAGGGGAGGGTTGCTGTTCACAGAACTAGTTTCCACTGGTGCTTTAGATCCTGGTGCTGTAATTAATTATGGGGTTACAATATGTGTTTCTCTTCCTCTTCAGTGGTATGCTGACCAGGACCATGGGATTCCAGGCCTTTCTCTTAAGCACCTCTACACCCACATGACCCATTTCCTCAAGCAGTGTTTTTCCCTGGCTTAAGGAGAGTCCCTCCTCTCCGTGGGCCTGTACAGCAAGGAGAACGACGCGTGCTTTGCTAGAAAGCAACACGAGCTGCACAGATTAAGCATATTCTGGAAGCAGGATAAGAAAGTGAGAATTAAAGAAGGCTTGGCATGGACAGTCTCTTGTGGACACATGAGCATTAGCAAATAATATTACAGTTTGCGTCCAGGTACACGTATTTGTTAGGAAACAAATGAACAATAAAATAAAAACAAAAACAAGTGTTTTGAAGGCTGCACATTTTGCTTCTTTTCCTCCTTCAGTCCTCAGGGGTCAGATACATGTATCCATCATGGAGTAAGGGACAGGGTGCCAACTTGAATAAAATATTGGGGCACGCAAGTCTACACAATCGATCACATGATGCAGTGCACGCACACTATTTGAATGGCAATGCCCATCAACTTTGGGGGTGCAGCCCCATCAAATATTTTATTGGAGGGGCTGATGCCCCCTCGGTCCCTATGGTAAGGGAATACAGTGGTGCCCCGCAAGACGAATGCCTCACAAGACGAAAAACTCGCAAGACGAAAGAGTTTTCCGTTTTTTGAGTCGTTCCGCAAGACGAATTTCCCTATGGGCTTGCTTCGCAAGACGAAACGTCTTGCGAGTTCTTGCGAGTTTGTTTCCTTTTTCTTAAAGCCGCTAAGCCGCTAAGCCCTTAATAGCTGCTAAGCCGCTAAGCCGTTAATAGCCGCTAAGCCGCTAATAGCCGTGCTTCGCAAGACGAAAAAACCGCAAGACGAAGAGACTCGCGGAACGGATTAATTTCGTCTTGCGAGGCACCACTGTATTTCTGAAAGGGACATAGCTCTGTGATAGAGCATCTCAAATTCAATCTCTAGGAGCTCCAGGTGAAATATGGTCTGCCTCAAATCCTGGGGAGCTGCGGCCAGTCAATATTGGCAATTGGACCAATGGACTTACTCGGTTTAGGGCAGCTTCCTTTGTTCCTACAGGAAAAGGTAGCCTAGACTGTGTTCACACTTCTGTTCCCTGTGCACTCACTGCCTTCCTGGTGCTTGGTTTTTTAATATATGCTCACATGACGTTATCCAAAATGCATATGCATCCTGTCCTTTGTTGTGAAATACTACTGTTGGATGCGTTGTTTCTCAAACCAGCTTGACACAAATTGATGGGAGTCCTTAAGCCGTTCCTAATTCATCTCCAGCCAATGAGACGAACACTGTAAAAACGTTCCTGCCATTCGATGCCCTCCGGTGTATGCACAAACGGAAACGAATCTGCTGCTAATTAATCTGTGCTGGTGTGAATAGCTCTGGGGGAAGCGCTGTGAAATGCACCGGCAGGAACACATTACTGCCCTCTAGGGCAGTAATGTGAACACCTTATGATGCCAGGGGGAGGGACTGTCAAATCCAAAGCCTTACTGGGTTCACTTATGGCAGATGATGGTGTTGTTTGTGATTCAAGGACCCGCCACCCACTTGAGGATAAGAAAGATACATGGACACGGTATATTAGGTTAATGGGCTAAAAAAGGCCACAACTTTATTGTTTACAGCATGTGAGAGGTATTGGCTTAGGCATTGGATTAACCACAGTGAGTGACTCCAGCCCCTCAGGGAGGGGTGAGTCTATCAAGGGTTAATGGCCGGGAAGCACTGCCACAGCCACGTTTGAGCGGCAAAACCCCACCCCCAAGCCTCCACCTGGCACGGCAACTGGGATGGCTGGGCAGGGGCCCAAACGCCCCCTGCCAACGCGGGAAACAGCTCCCACTCACAACTCCTCCCCTCTGCAAGGAGGAGAGGCTTTCTCTGGTCCTCTCCTTTTCATGTGGGGAGGACACTGTGTCCCACCCCCCAGCTTTTCCCTCTCTACAGTCCCAAAGCAGCTCCAATCAGCTCCACGGCTGATGTCTTCCCTTCCTGTTTTCTGAGGATGTGTCTGGGGAGTTTGAGGCCTTTGGATCCCCTGATCTAGCCTCAGCACACACACTGTTGGCTGTTGCCCACTCACCCCCCAGGTCCTTTGAAGTCAGATGGAGATCTGTTCTCTTGCTGTCATGACACTCTGTTGGAGGCCATAGGATTGTTCTCCAATGAAATTAAAGGAAGCCCAGGCAGCACAAATGAATCATTGCCATGAGAAATAGCAATCAAGCGATGGATTGTTCAAGGGCAAAGGTGGGCCATGACTCAGTTGCAGAGCATCAATCCCCAGCATCTCCAGGTTGAAACCCTGGAGAGCTATCAGTGTAGACCAGTGGTGGCCAGACTTGGCCCTCCAGCTGTTTTGGGACTACAACTCCCATCATCCCTAACTAACAGGACCAGTGGTCAGGGATGATGGGAACTGTAGTCCCAAAACTGCTGGAGGGCCGAGTTTGGCCACCACTGGTGTAGACAGTATAGAGCTAGTCTGACTCAGTACAAGGGAGCTTCCTCTGTTCCTAATATGGTAGCTATCCAGATGTTGTTGGATTCCAGCTGCCATCATCCATGATCTTTGGCCAAGCTGGGTGGGGTTAATGGGACCCGGAATCCAACAGCATCCGCAGAGCCCCATGTTGGCTGCCTCCGGTCTACTGAGCTAAAACTGCAGAGGTAGGGAGTTGACTTGCTGTGCAGCTACAGCTATTTTGTTTTGTTTCAGCCCATCTGATTCTCCTGCCATGAGAAGACTTTTCAGACAGCAGACACATCTTTATGTAAATGCCTCTGCCAAGCTGTTTTTGACGATTAAATTAAACTCTGATAGGAACTCTTTTAGAAAATATTAAATTCAGCAAAGGGGTTTTTTGGAAGCGCTGCCAATTAAGAGCGTTAATGAGCTTTTTGTTGGTAATGTAATTAGAATTCAGCTGCTCCAATTGTTAAAGGGGGGGATTATAGCTCAGAGAAAGTTAACATTAAAAAAAAGCAAATACAACACAGAAGAGCAGTAATTTAAAGAGTGATTATATAGGTTCCGCAAGGAGCCTGGCAGCAATGTCTCTTCCATTCCGTAACTTTGCAAACAGGGGAGGAGCTGGAAGTAACAGAGCCCAAGCCTCTGACCCCTTGAACTGATACAGCTTTTCTAGCCAGTATTATGGTGGCAAAACCTTCCTAAGGTTTCTTTTAATCCGATCTTCACCTCCCTTGAAATTCCTTGCATGTTTGGTCTAGGCGGGAACCTCTGAATGAAACGTGAGATTTCACATGTGACGAAATCCAACGGCAGTTCCAGTTTGGTGCAGTGAAGTTGCAATAATATACACACTTACAGCGCAGTCCTAACCACGTCTGTGTAGAAATAAATCCTATTGAATTAAGTGGGGCTTTCTCCCAGATAAATGAGGGTTTAGGCTGCAGTCTCAGTAGGGAACTAAAGCTAGGCAGCCCATGTACCCTACTTTAGAGGACAATCCTATATTGCAGGAGTGGGAAAACCTCTGGCAGAGGTCCCAGTTTGGCCCATGAGGCTGTTGTCACAAAACCATGGCCACCTGTCACACATCAGAAGTCATATGTGACACTACCCGGACACTGAGGTCTAGTGCCGAGGGCCTTCTGGCAGTTCCCTCACTGCGAGAAGCCAAGCTACAGGGAACCAGGCAGAGGGCCTTCTCAGTAGTGGCACCCGCCCTGTGGAATGCCCTCCCACCAGATGTCAAAGAGAACAACTACTACTAGACTTTTAGAAGACATCTGAAGGCAGCCCTGTTTAAGGAAGCTTTTAATGTTTGATGGATTACTGTATTTTAATATTTTGTTGGAAGCTGCCCAGAGTGGCTGAGGAAGCCCAGCCAGATGGGTGGGGTATAAATAAATTATTATTATTATTATTATTATTATTATTATTATTATTATTATTGGCTGATGGGAAGTAAATGGAAGCTCACTGGGTTGGGGCAATGGGGAACTGAGTTGCGCAGCCGGTCCCCTGCAGAAAACAACATTGCCAGCTTTATGGTTGGGGTTTCCCAAGTGCCGAGCACAGGGCTGACAAAGTCCAAGTTGCTATGTTTCCCAAGCGCCTGGCAACCAGCTGACTGCCGGACACCTCTGAAATGCTGCACAAGGGACTTAGACATGTGGGCAGGACAATCACCTGATGTCATTATGTCAGCTGAATGACAGGTGGGTTGTCCCTCCCACCTGTCCAAATCGGGCCAGGAAGACTCTTCTTCCCTGCTCTATTTGAAATAAGTCCAGTTTTGCACGGTTGACTGGCTTTAAGAGATAGACAAATCACCACATTCACATTAAAATAAAGGTTCGCCCATTCATATCTTTCTTTAAAATAAACCAATCATTTCAAACTTCCCTTCTTCCCCTACCCTGGTTCCATTAATTTCCCCACCTATCCCGCATATTCTTGTATATCCATTTAACTCCCTTATTCCTTTATTATTCCTTTGTTATGTGTTATGCCGTTGAATTCACCTCAATCCTACTAACATTTTCACAGGTTTACAGTTGTTTTCCAAATACTCCACAAAAAATTTCTGTTCCTCTTTATATACTTGATCATCTTCTCCTCTTGTTTTCTTGTTAGACCCGCTAAATCTGCATATTCTGTCATTTTTAATTGCCAGTCCTTCTATTTTGGAACCTCGCTCACTCGCCATTTCTGGGCTAACAAAATCCTAGCTGCTGTAGGGGGGGGGAGAGATTTTTCTGAGATCTAGGTTCTTCCGTCTGTACCATTCCCACAATGTGGTTTTGAAAAATGTAACATTGAAAAATATAAATAAATTTTTAAAAAAGAGATAGACAAATCATAAGAACAGAGAAAGAAGAACCTTGATAGCAGGCTAAGCAGACATTAAGGTCACCTGGTTGTAGTCTTCCCAACAATGGCAGGTTGTATTTCTATTTTAAAAATTACAGCAATTATTTCCAAATGTGGATTTTTACATAAAAAGCATATGCAATTTCAACACAAATCTGTGTCCTCTTTTGGAGGGGATGTGTAAGCAAATGCCCACATAAAATAAGACCGTTGAACACAGTGGTGTTCAAGAAGTTTCACAGAAGTGATCATGGAATGAAATAAATAAATGAAATAATCCTAAGCATGCACAGATTTCTTCGTTGGTGGGCCCTGCAAGAAACTTACCAAGAGGACATTAGTGCACTGTGTTCTTTTGGGGCCTTCCTTATAGAGATTTAACATTTAACTTAAACAGGCAGATTTGGATCAAGTCTTTTGAGCGGGGGGGGGGGGCTGTGCATGCTGAGCAAATCAAATTCAAAGGCTGCGAGCAGCAGGGGGGGGGAGC